CTAGATTCGAGTACCCTTGAGATTCACAGTGATCAGGGAAGAAATTTTGAGTCTTTATTGTTTCAAGAAGTTGCCGACTAATGGGAATTCATAAACGCGGACTCTCCATATCACCCACAGTCAGATGGAATGGTGGAACGCTTTAATCAAACCTTGGAAAGGCACTTGGCAAAACTGGTGGACAGCCATCAAAAAGACTGGGACAAGCATTTCCATTATTTTTAATGTCATACCGGTCTGCGGTTCATGAAACCCGAATGTTACACCTGCTACCTGTGGGAGCACTTAGATTACCAGCAGACATTGTAACGGGACGACCACCTACACCCGGGAGTGTACAGTGCTGCGGATTGCGTAAAAACTGCATGAAATCCATGAACACGTACGGCTCACAAGCAAAATAAGTGAGACTACGAAGATAGGTATGACAGAAAACGAATCACATAGAATTTAAAGAAGGCTCGCCAAGTATGGCTCCTCAAGCAAAGCAAACACCAAAGCTTCAACTGACTGGGTGGTCCTCCATATCACGAAGATTAATGACGTTACTTACCGGATAAAAAAATGAGTGGTTTAAGAAGCAAACCGAAAGTCGTTCACATAAATCGATTGGCTCCCTATAAAGGAAGTAATGATGCTCGGGACGAGCATGTCTAAGGAGGGGTAGTGTTACGAAGACGGGTCGACTGCAATGTTTTTAGATTTTTCCACTATTAGAGAACTTTTCACAGCTAATTGATTTCTACCGTTTCAGGGGAGGGTCAATCACATATTAGAAAATCGCAATTTACATAATGTTACCCTAGTTTTCAGGAGCCTGAAACATTTTTTCAGGCCGTTTCAGAACACGCGTAGTCGAATGGTACACTTTTCAGGAAACCCGTTTTCAGGCGTTTTCAGGCCTGTTACCCCTTTGACGAAGGAATGTTCTAGAACGAATTTTCTAGGTGTGGGAGAAGGACGGAACGATACGAGAGAGAGGGAAGATCGGAACCTTCTCGAAGCTAGACCGAGCACTCTAGAACGCCGTACGACAAGGACGGACATTGCGAAAGAGACTAGTCGCCGTTCTAGATGTGCGTCGCTACTCAGTTCGCGCCTAGAGAGTTCTCGAACATCGCTCCCAGGGAATATAAGCGAGCCGAAACCACCAGTTAGTTCAGTTTTGAATGCGATACCAAGCGATAAACACCGGAGTGACAAAGTGCGAATATAGTGAAGAAAAGTGAATACAAGTACTGTGTGAAGTGCGTGTTATTAGAGTAATTAGTGACATTATTTTGTGTGTGTATTTAGTGAATTTCAGTGCGTAATTATAATTTTTAGTGTTAACAAATTCCTCGTAGATTTAATTAGAAATAAACCCTTGAAGAAATCTACGGCGTTTCTATCCGATCCCCTAGCTCGTAACAATATTGTAAACCAGTCCTTATGCTAACACTGCTAATAGTTTAAATATTTTTATGCACTGCAGTGGAAATTCTATACAACAGTGATTTGATACTTCGCATAGTAAGGGGATTTTTTGTCTCGAGTTAATATAGAAAATAAATACATAATTAATCTTCTATTTCAACTATCTTTAGTTGATATCAAAAAATTATTTTATTACATTTCACATATTGCGATATTTGAAAGTATAATAGATTACAGCTAGATACAATAATTATTTAACATGAAAATCTTTTAATAATTAGAACAAACAGTGTTAATTGTTTTCCTTGATTGTTGGATTGCGTTTAAACTTTAATGTAATTATTAGACAGTTAACATATTATCTTTATTGCATGTTTAATGCATTCCTCCCTTATCGTTAATTTTTATGTATTCTGGGAAAGGTGTTTTCACTCACGGCATTTTTTTATTAATGTAAAATTGTGTAATTTCTATAAGTTGCATATTTGTTGCATGTACAAAGTCTAGACGGTTTATGAATAAAAAACACTTCAATTTCCTACAAAGATAAACAATAATTATAACAACTAATATAGACAAAATAAAACTATTATAGGTTATTTTAGTAGGATGGGGTCACAGGTATAGCCTCCAAAGAAGCCATTAGTGGCCAGTATGGGCCAGAAGTTTTTAGAAAGGTCGTCCTTTGGTCGTCGTTTACCTTTTGGTCCATTATATTACTCGTTTTTGACATCTCCATCTTGAAGCCTAGCCAATGTGTCTTGCCAACTTTCATATAAATTTTTTATCGTACTGAACTGCATTCATATTTTTGTATTTTTGCGTGACGTACAATATTTTTTTTCATTTTGGATTCATTTAACACCTATAATGCTATACCTATAAGAATACTTCGCGCCGATGCCTCTGACAAAATGCTACTTTATTTACTAACTTGTTTGAGTATTTCCATGTTTGACAGTCGTAGTTATAGGTTTAAGGTAAAATAAAAATTCTATACATTTTAACACGGGAAGCGAAGGACTTTCTGCCTCCATTTGACTTTAATTTTACTTCAGAAACTAACGGACCCGACAGACGTTGCCCAATAAAATCATATCGACGATAAGCACCAAGCTTCAGGTCTTGTTGTATAATACGCGACATAGCCCTAGCGGGAATCTTCATTTCTTGCGATAAGATTTTTTGCTTCCTAATGGGGTTCCTACGAATTCTGGCTTTAACAGCATTTGTAGATCTAACAGCACGCGACCGCCCCCGATCTTTTCTGGTCTTTGACTGACGAAGTGTTGTTGTATCTGGTGATAGTACGATATGCGAACATACGGCTGATACCATGCTTTTGAAGTGTCTGGCCCGACGGCTTCATACCCACTTTGTGCAAGGCGATCACTGCAAAGTGAAATCCTATTTTCTTTAACACCCCATTCCATATTGTAATTTAATAATGAACACGAAAAAAATATGTGAAATGGCGCAAAATCGAAAGAAGTTTTTAAAATAATAATCGTGTTCCAAATTCGAGACTAGTTATAAAGTTATGAATTCAACTCTTAAATTGTTTAGAGTTAGTTAAATAATTGAAATTAATTTTTATGTCGCCGGACATTCGATTCTTCTTTGAATTTTACGTTTCGTTTCGAAGAACCCGTTTAAGTTTTTGCCGGCGGCCAATTACAAGTAAGTAGTTTTTTCGTACTTTTCCTACAATAAGTGAAAAATTATTTTGCGAAGGTTTGGCGGGACACCGAATAGGAAAATGGTTAAATGCCCCCCCTTTTTTCCCCTCCTCCCTCTTTTTTGTTTTGTGTTTTTTGTTTTTTTTGTGCTACTCTTTTTTTTTTTTTCTTTTCTGTGGGGGGGGGAGTATTAATATATCAGTGAAGCCCCAGTTCCCCACACATCCCCGCCCCTGCGCAATTTTTTTTTCTTTCTTTCCCAACGACCCCCCCCCCCCTCTTCATTGCCACCCCCGCCCCCCCCCTCTCTTTCCGCCCCCGGCCCCCCCCCGCGGCCCCGCGGCCCGTTCCCTTCTTTTCTTTTCCCGCCCCCCGGGGTCGTTGTTCTTTTTTTTTTTTTTTTTTTTACTGGAGAGTGGCGGCGGCCCTCCGCCCCTCTTTTTTTTTTTTTTTCTTTTTTTTTTTTTTTTTTTTGTTTCTTCCTTTCCCCTTCCCCTTTCCTTCTTTCCCTTTTTTTTTTTTTCTTTTTTTTTTTTTCTTTTTTTTTCTTTTTTTTTTTTTTTTTTTTTTTTTTTTTTTTTTTTTTTTTTTTTTTTTTGTTTTTTTTTTTTTTTTTTTTTTTTCGGCTTGGTTTTTTTTTTTTTTGTTTTTTTTTTTTTTTTTTTTTTTTTTTTTTTTTGTTTTGGGTTTTTTTTTTTTTTTTTTTTTTTTTTTTTTTTTTTTTTGGGGTTTTGTTGGGGGGCCTGCTTATATATACGCCTTAAAAGAATATGCGTAAATTAATTGCATTCCTCCTTAACATGGTTAAAATAGAAAACTAATTAATATCTAATTTACGACGACTTGGAATATATCATTTTAACCTGAACCATCTTATTCACGAATGTATTCTAACAAACTGTCGACATTTATATCGATAAGTAATTCATGATTGGCGCTTCTGATTTTTATAAATTAAATGCACTTATTTTTATGTGCCTTTTCGTTATCTTTATCGATGTGGAACATTTATATACGTTCACTGAAAGCGTCTTATTAAAATCATGTTTGACGATTTAAATTTTTGTTGTCTTCGTCTTAGTTCAAGGCTAATTAAGTATCCGGGTTCTATTTCATATGTAAATTAAAAACGTCTACAACAAAAACAAATACATAACAATTTACTATAAAATACCGATTTCCACATGCATACCCTAATCATTAGTCATCTAATTCTTCCCAGTCCAGGGGCTTTAGTCAAGATGCCTTAACAGTAGTGTATGTAGAATGTCGAAATCTAAATTTGTATGGAAATGACAGTTCGTGTCGAAAAGTTTTCATACAAATTTAGTTTTTGACTTGACTGATGCAATCTTTTATAGAATGTATCGAACCAGTTTCAAATACACCTAAACATCGACTAAAAGTCCCTTAAAAAAATAATTGCACATTCGTATTGAGAGGTTTACAGGCAACAAATATTAATTAGAAAGACAGTTAAGTAGTATAAAATACCTGTTTTAGTTATACGGGTGCATTTTACAAATATTAATTAATCACCTAATAATTATTAATGATTATATTTCTTAGGTTTATGACTTTTAATTAAGCTGTTTAAAGTATCCTCTTAATTAATGTACCTCCTAAAAACTCCCCAGGGCATCTTGATTTAGCCTAAATTTGGGGGGGAAATCCCTTAGTTAGCATCTCTACAGCGGTCTACAGAAACACGAATTTTATGTCGATTACAAAATATGTTAGAAAGCGTTTTTAAGATATATTCTATGTACCAATTAATACAATACTAACATTTTTAACACTTAATTATATCTCTAGAATTCGTAATTTTTAATGCGATTCATAGAACATCAGTATCCATTCAAACATAACACAATAATTGTACTGGCTTCGATTATTTCATTTCAGCTCAAATTCTGGCTACGTTTTGGGCGTTTTGGCTGCCTCCAGTACCATATGGAATATATTTTCATCGACGGTCAATTTCCAGTACTACGCAATCGGATATACCGATCGAAAAACAAGCACCACAAGACGGGTACGATTCTGTAAGTAATGGCTTCTTGGTATACAAGCTCTCAAAATAGGAAAAATCGTAAGATGGAAGCCTAACTTATGAGACGAACGGTTTATTTGTTAGAAAATTTACAAAATGCAATAAATTTTAAGTTTTTTTGACGAATGTTATAGGTCGGTTATCGAAAGCTGGAGCGTTCACAGTACTCACACTAATGCAATTTCAATATACAGTATGTTTAAAAATATGACTTTTTTGCCAAGCCATATATTTTAGTCTACTCTGGTTTTAGTAAGGTTTGGTGGGTTGTAAATAAATAAAAATGTGTCAAATACATATAAATATTATGTGCATACGAGGGTGGATCCAAAAGTTCTAAGCCCGACCAAGAACGTAAAAGAGTGTTTGTGTAAATAATTTTTCATTTTTCGACATAAGCTCCATCTAGCTCAACACACTTCACTTTTACTTCACTAACAATTCTTTCAATACTCCTCTTAGAAACCCCAGTCGCATCTGATGTCAAATTAAAAATAACATTTTTTTCATTAAACTGTTTTAATTAAGATGCTTAAAATAATTAAAAACATTGTGCATCATTTCACGAGATGGTCCTGGTAATGTTTAGACGGTATATATTTCATAAGACATTTTTTTCAAAGTATTCTAACCTCCAACCAAATAGGTAAACAATCACAGACAAAATAATAATGAGAAAAAAGATCAACAGACAACATGTACAGTAAAGATCAACATAAACAGTAGCAAAAGCAAAACAATAACTGTCTCTTTTATACTCATAAGCTTGACCGAGCGCGAGAGAGACGGACAGTCTTTTCATGATGCATATTCAGTTTGACATTCACAGTCGCGCTTATTCACAGACACTACACAAGCACAAAGTGTCAATGTGTTGAAGCCGCCAGCTTTAGATAACATACCAATAACTTATGCAAGTTTCCGAGCATTATATATTGAGAGTTTGTTTCCTAATAAAGCTATATAATATTAACCCAGGTTTAGGTTCGAAAGCGAGAGATAGTGAGAGCAGTGTTGGCCAAGTGGTTTCAGCGTGCGACTCTCATCTCTGAGGTCGTAGGTTCGGCTATGGCACCAAAAGACTTTCTCTTTATGTGCGCATTTAACATTCGCTCAAACCGTCAGAAAAGCGGCTTGCCTTAGACCCAAAAATTCGACGGCGTGTGTCAGGCACAGGAGGCTGATTACCTATTCGGATCATGAAACAGATTCATAATTCTGAGGCCCAGACCTAAAAAGGTTGGAGCGCCACTGGTTTTTATTTGGTTAGAAAGAATAATTGGGAAACATTGTTTAAAATATAATTGTGTTTTCAGAAATCATTCCGGTCTCAAATTTCCGAAGCTACTGTATTAATATATCGCCACGCACGCAGCGCATACTCCCGACCCAAAGTTGTAGCGTGGTCTGCCCTTTACGCAGTGGCACTCGCACTGTTTGTACAGTCACAGACTTATATGCAACTATTGTGGAAAAGGATACGGGGTGATGACGAAGAAATGGTGAGTTTACATACATAAAAGGCATAAAAATTTAATACCCATTTTTCCCAGTGTAATACGTGAGCTGTCAAAATTATTGGTGTTTTTAAATATTCGTGCAATTAGAAATTTACATCGTACCTATCGAATACCGAAAAGTTTGTTTACGTCTGGAGTATAACGAGACAGCTCCAATGGCTGTAGATTGCTACCCGATGGTGCTAGTCTACTTTATGGTATGGAAATAAAAAGAAACCATTAGAAGCCCATATAGTCTCTTCTACAGTGTTTATGGCAGTAGGTAGTAGCTTGTCTACTTTTGCGGTGATAAAATTTGAGTTTTACTCCAGACCTGTTAAGAATTTCTTAAATTTTACAATTACTTAACTCCATACAATATTCGTAAATATAGTTCTAATAAAGCAAGCAGCAACAAATGGCATACCCAATTATGTAAAACAAAAAGTAAATGTGATATGTAAAGTCACACAATGCAAAAGGGTGTTCGACATACATTAAGCCTAAAAAGTAAAAAAATTATACTTTTTTTATTAAAAAATTACATAGAGTAAGGAGTCCTTACTAAGAACTACATTTTATGGAAAATAAATACCATTAACTTAAATCTTTCTAGGAACTATACAATGGGGCAGTAGAAGCACTCCAAACGGCATTTGGTGCGGCTGGTGCATTCCTAGCTTCATACTGGACCTACGCTGTGTTGCCAGCGCCCATCGCCGCTGTACAGGGTGTTGCCATGTTCCTAGCGACGTATGTTAATGATATCACCACATCATATACTGGCTACATAGTTATGGGCATGCTGTTTCATTATACAATTACACTGGCAAGGTAAATAGTAAAATAATTATTTTAGCAAAGTAACGAAAATGATTTCATATAACTAACCTAACCTAATCATCCTGAACCCACAGGATACACAAAAAATCATTAAAATCAATCCAGACACTTAAGTGTGTAAGTTAAAAAATATATAAATCTGCTGAATATATATTACAAATTGCTGCCTGATATTTTAGAATTTTACATGAAAGTTAGTGGGAGATTAACATGTCTGGCACATTATAGCCAAATCTCATATAATGCTAATCATAGAACAAGGAAAGAGCAGTGTTGATTTAGTAGATTAAGCAAGTGACTCGCAACCTTGGGTTCATGCATTTGAATAATCAACATGTGTCAGTCAAAGAAGGCGGATCTGGTAATCAGACCGTTCTTGTCTATAAAAAAAATTCTGGTTATCAAATCCAAGGTACATAAGATACATATTTGAATTATATTTAACCTTTTTTTTTTCAGTGCCAAAATAGCAAGCCAACTAAGTGACGAAAGTTGTTTTGGATTGATATTTGGTATCAACACCCTAATTGGTACAGGACTACAGTCTATTTTGACTTTAGTCCTAATACAAACCCTAGATTTACCAATTCATGCGCAATATTATTTTATAAGCGGATTTTTCTTACTACTTGCTTCATTTTGGCTTCTTGGCTGCATAATCCATTTTTTTAAACAGAAACATAGTATTAATTTAAACCAGTATTAAGATTTGTGCTTGATGTATAAAACATAATCAACAAATTTTCAATTTTTTAAAATTTTTATATAAGGATTTTTAATTTAAAATTCTCTCTTGACAGTTGAAAGTATAGAAAGCATTTTTTCTTTGATAATGTATGTAAAAGAGAAACTTTAATACATGATATGTTTTTTGAGTACATAGCTTGTGTATTAGTTGCATACATTAAAATATTTACTTCAACACAAGCCACACATAATAGTAAGTATATTGTTTTATATGATAGTAGATCTACATTAATTTGAGTAGATTGTGAGACATATTATTATTTGTATTTTCATGTATTAAAATAATACATTTTATAATAAAACATTGTAACCAGATTTTAAACTGTTTTTCTTGATTATACCGATTTTTACTTTGAATTTTATTGGACTATATCTGTTTCATTAAACTCTTGGTCATACAATCCTTTCTGTTAGGTTAAACTAAATGAGAGTAATAAATAAAAGTATATCAATTAAGATTAATTACTTTATATTCTGTTAGGTCCTTTTAAATATATTTTTAGCCAGAGGATTATGAAGTTATTAGTATGAAAAAATGTATTGTTGTTTTTTTTAAGTATAAAAGGATATGTAGACTGTGATATGAATATATAGTGGCACTTTTTTGTTGCTGTATTAAGGTTATATTCACATAAACAAAACTTAAGAGTCATAATAATTGTTAATAGTTGTAGTCTACTTCCAGATTTGTTTTCAATATCAAGGATAGACCATGTTGGCAAAGACATCATATAATAAACTACATTTTATTTTGACAATGCAACATCCAGTAATTTGAACAGTTATAGATAGTAAAGGAAATAAAATATCTTATGGTAAAATACTGATAAATACATTTATTCCTGCAATAACAATATTACATACTATTATTTTTGGGTCTATGATATGTTGGAATGTAATAAATAAATGATAATCACAATATCATCTATACAAATGTAAATTTCACAACCATAGTAAGATTTTAATAAATTTACTTAAATGTTTACAAAGTTAACAGTAACAATTTACGCCACCTGCATCGTTGTTGGCCTCGTTTTCACATACACGTAGACACATATTAATATAAAAACGACAGCTACAGTTGGAAGAACTATTGTATTAATTTGCTGACGAACTTTAGCAAATTCTTGTTTCCTTTCACGTTTTTGTCTTGCTGTTTCTTTAACTGGTCCCTTAAGCTTCCTCATAATGTACCTAAAAACTAGTCGATAGAAATGTCTCAAAAAATAGTTATATTATTAAGATTAAAGTTTGTAGAGAAATTACCTTTCCAAAAAGAAATAAGTTATAATCAAATAATATATAACCCTTAATAATAAAAGTGATATTTAAATACAACTACACAATTTTACTATTTTCGACGTGGAAAGCGGAAACACAATTTACAAATATCTAATATTATCAATTATGTGAACCAAAACACCGGAAAATCAAACTTGATTATATTTTTAAACCACAGACAATGTGTGTGTTGAACACACTGTGTTCTAAATCCAACAGACTAGGACAACGTATAACGATGTGAGATACCGTGTGCGTTTTCCAATTACAGAGCATTTTGCGACTCAGTGCCGCACAATGCCGCATAATGCTGAAGCTTAATTGGAACGTGAATTAGTTTTCAAATGCATCAGCAGAGTGCGCTAAGTCAGTGTTGACAAAAAAATGGTCTGAATAGAGTTAGCAACCTCATTAATGTATAAATAATGTGGTAAACAATAATAGTTGGTTGAAAACTTTTTACGCTTAATTAAATAATCAAATTATTTCATTAAAATTTGTTTTAACAAGCTAAATTAACAGTAAAATATTAAGTTTCATGTAAGAAGTTTACATCATTTACGTTTTGAGTAATATTTTTTAATGATTTCTAAAAAATTATATACTTTTTCAAAACCATTGCAATTTTTTCTAAAGTATAATCCTGTAAAGTAAATTTGTTTACAGATCCGAATTTTAAAATAAAATTGTATTCATATTTTAAATGTGGAATATAAAAAAAGTAACTATTTATACCTTCATCCATACTAATATTTATTTTTTTTAGCAGTTTGAAATAACTTTAATTATTTTCAAAATCTACGACGAAACGAAAGCCTTACAAATTTTTCAACAATAAATAATATTTACTAACGAAAATTTCGATAAATGCCAACTTAAAGAAAAATACTGGTCAATTTTCTGTCACTGTGTTGGTATTGTTTGCGAGAGCATTCGTTTTGAGAGTGCTCAATTGTGCGAAGCGTTGCTGTAGTTGGAACACTCAACGTTGAGCATTATGCCGCAAAATGCGTTCTAGTGCTGTAATTGGAAAACGCACCGTGTATACGCAGTGATATAGAGATAAAACAAAAATCTTGTAGAAGTGGGATAAAAATCATTGAGTGAACAGGGTAGAGCATGATTTTATATTAAGCCAGCTCCAGATTGTCGCGAGGCGTAATTAATAAACGTAATATTGGCGAGTCGAGGGTGCACAAATAGTAACTCTCGGTTTATTAAGTTGCTCGTTACTATATTTATAAAGACCGAAATAATTAATATTGGTTATCTGTGATGCATTAATGTCAAATGATTTAAAAGTAAATGCTTTAGCTCTCTTGATTTGAATTTATATAATATTTTTATAACTTTTGCTAAAATGGAATTTTTTGGACTTACTCTATTTGGACCGCAAAATTACATAAAATACACTTTAAGAAGTGACTACAAAGAACCAGAATCTAAAGAAGAAGCAGATTGTTTCATACAGAAAATAAAAAAAGATTTAAATGCTCAAGGAAAAGTACTTAACGTTTTTACTTTCAATTCGATATTTCTTTATTAGTTTTTATTTGGTTCACAAAATTAATCACATCTAAGATTATCATAATTATTGTCATTATTAATGTTATTATTCAGAAATGTCCTGTAGTTGATTTTTGACGTGACGTGCTTGAGCTCAATTTATCTAATCAGCTGGTTTTTTTTTAAATCTTAATGTTTGTCCAGTAGTGGTAGAGCTTTAGATGATAGCAAATTCATTTGATGTTTTAGGTTAATATTGATTTCATCATCGTTATCAACGATGCGTATTCAATTTGCCCAAAATTATTAACTCAGAGTTCGAAACAGCTGCAAAAACAAAAAAAAAGTGCGTGCGTACAAAGTACACATGTCAGAATTAGTGAAACTTCTTTGGAAAACTAATTTTTAAGTCTTGTTCATATTTATACAAATCTAAAACTTTAGATTTCCAAGACATAGAGGGAGGGAAAAAGGAAGATATGTTAGGAATTTAATTTATTTAACTGTCATTAAAATATTGTCGAAAATTAATACAAATTATAAATTTATTTCTTCTATAATAAAAACACGTGGCATTTTAATTTACAATTCGTCATAAGAGATTTCAATAAGTTATTTTGCATAAAATATAAAGTATGTACTAATATTTCATAAATTCTCTTTACGAAATTTTAATTTTACAAATATAATTTCTACAAAGTAATTCGCCCTTCTCACTCTCTCTCAATTGGTCTCAATCGCTCTCCCTCTTTTCTTCGACGAAAACGCTGCTTATCTTCGTGACGCTAATATTATTATTATTGCGTTTCATGCGTAAAAATTTTACCATCATACGCCTAAAGAAGTAGCAGAAGAAGTCCCACACGCTTTAGTCATAGCTCGTCAATCCTCTCTTGAGTTTGACCATTAACTTATTTCAAATTTAGAAATATATTTATAAACACAGGTTGAGGTACATGCTGGGGTAAAAATCTAAAAGTAAATATTTTTGATTTAAATCATACTGACTAGACAATAGATCAGTCAATGAAACGAATAAAAGATAATTGGAAGTAAATTAATAACATCGTATAGGTTATTGATAACATCGTTAACATGTTACAGAATGTTGATGACATCGATGTTATAAGATTAATCGACTGTTATATTGGAAGAGTCAATGGATTTGCGTATGGGTCGTCCCAAAGATTCACAAAAATGAAACGCAAAGGTGTTATAAAGCCTGTTGGTCCAGCAGATATGTATAGAATTCCTACCACAACTTCCATTGATGTAAGTGCTACCTACTTAAATTTTCTACCAATTTATTGTTTTAATTTATGACACATTATAACATGTCCAATATTGTTTCAGTATGGGTGGTGGCAGCACGACCCAGCTTTATTAACCACTTCGTGGTATATTACAGACCCGCGACGCCCTCAACCATCTTCTCCAAATACCCTTATTCTAGATATTGCTCGTAAAAATAATAAGTATGCTACATTGTTTTAATAAAATATGTTATATAAATTCATCTTGCTCTATTTCGTAAAGTCCGTTAATTAAAAAAAAATGTGTGCGTGTACTAGTGTACACACGTAAGAAGTGAAACCTCTTTATGACCTTACTTTTCGAAAAATGATCTACTATAATATATGCAACTTTACAGAAATTGGATAAATAAAGTTAAATTAGATAAAGATTAACAAAAGGCTTTTATTATTATAGACATGAAAACAAATAATACAATTATTTAATTTTACCTTATTATTACTAAGATTATTACAGAATTTCATTAATTGTAATAGAATTATTACTATCATTGTTATCGTTATTATTTTTGTTATTAATATAAATTTATACATTTTATGAACGTTTTTGACATAAATAATAGCATAATTTCTATTTATAACTAAATTAAATACTGCAATATTTATTAAATAGAACGTGAAAAAATTATTCAAAATAAATAACAGTACGTTGCGGTAAGCCTGAAGTTAGTTTTAAGAGGTAAGCAAACTTCACAAACAACAAATCTTGCAACTAATCAATACATTGGATCCGAAATCGCCGGACAAGAAAAAGATGGCGCGTAACGGAAAAATGTGACGCGTACGCGTACGTAACATTTTTTCCAACGTCGATAATGAAGTTTCACTTCAAAAAAGGAATATTACTTTTGTACCAAAACAGATGATAATTACAATAACGCTAGTTACGTTTTTTTTTATTTTCAGTAACTAAGATAAAGTATACGTATATCTTAATACGAGTATGTTTGTTTATTATAATTTAAACCAGTAATAAATCATAACTGCACACTATTATGTTGCAAGCCTTCCAGGTGTTATATTTGTATATATTTAACAAAATAGAATCGAATACGAAGCGTCTGCCTAAATTAGTTTTGACTCTGTAACAGTTTATGCAGCACACGCAACTTTGAAAATAATTATTGTTTTCTTCTTGGGGCTTTGTCAAGACGCCTTAACGATAGTGTATATAGAAAGTCGAAAACTAAATTTGTATAAAAATGGCAGTTCATGTCGACAGTCAATAGCATAGGCCCATGACAGTGCTTCGAAAAGTCACACATTAACGCTCACGCTTTTTGGTAGTCAACGTCTGGGGGATCTAGCCGTATCATTAAGGAGAACTTCTCTACATACTTAACTCTAAAAATAAAATATTAACTCTAGTTTAAATCATTATAATTTTACGAGAAAATAAAAAAAACCAAGCAGGTGTATTTTCGTAGTACTGTCATGGCGTCGCTTATTGTATCCCGACTGACGTCTTTTAGCCCAGGGAGCTTTCAAGTACAGTCAAAACCGTTTATAACGACATTGAAGGGACCGTATAGTTGCCGACGTTATATCCGATAGTCGTTATAAGCAATTTCATATACACAAGTACAGTACATATGTATGTACATAGTTATCTATCTAGAATAAGTAGGTATGGGTTATAATATGGTATGTTAATATTATAGTATGTAAACGAGTCAAAAAAGAAACAAAAATATTTATTACGAAATAATTAGGTACAAAAGTCATTTTGGTCGTTTTTTTTAGCCCAGTCTCAAATATTTTTTGCATTTTATCCATATGACATGAGATTTTTCTTCAATAGAAAACACTTTTCTCTTTTTTTTGCGACATGATAACACATAAATGCACAATTGCACAGTCTAAACAACACCAACACTTTTAAATCAAACTGTTACTCACGCAGTCAATTAGCGAACTGAACATATTGTGTAAAGTATGCAAGGTCAAATGGCCGGGAAGAGGTGGGAGAAAGTGCGTAGATAATAATATGCCTAAATATTCATTCAATGCTTATAAATAAGATTTAAAATCGTTTGTATTGTTGTGTTTTGCTGAGACAAGAAGCGGTCGTTATAGCCGATGAATATCGATAAAATTTCGTCGTTGTAAGCGATATGTCGCTGTATCCGATGTTGTTATAAGCGGTTTGTTTGCTGAATAGTTTACTAGGGATTCGGACGGGACCATACAATCTGGTTGTAATAACCGATAGGTCGTTATAAACGGTTTTGACTGTATTACGTAACGCAATTTTTGAAGATTATTGATCCCCCCCCATGTAACTCGCCGTAACGTTTTTCAGTACCCAAGTATAGTACTGTTCCCAAGTCTAGTAAAACGTTTCGTGACCACCTAGTGACTCTTTAGTTACTATTGTTAGCTTTTATTATTTATTTAATAATATTCTAAATAATTTATGAAACATATTCTTTTGCTACAAGTGCGCATGTGCAATAATTACTCATTGCCTCGTTCGGTTATTCACGAAATGTTACGAATTGACTCGAATAACTGCCCGAAGTGGGAAGGTCGAGTCAGAGTGGGGACGAGAGCATAAAACATCTGGTAACACATGCGCACAGGCCATTCCTTTGTTCAAGTTGGTGTTTGTACATTTTACGTAGGGTCAGTGTGTGAAATATAGTAAATCAAGTCATCATTGGAGTGTTTAATTTCCTACCCTAAGAACCAGATCAACTAGCCCTAACAAATCAGAAGAGCGGGATGCCATCGAGGTAAACTGATATGGTATATCATATCCTTGGTGTAAAGGATTAACGCCCACGAGGTATGCGATTTTTTTTTCCTTTCTTCATTTTGTAACCTAAAGATGTAGGTACTCTTTTTTTATTATTTTTATTTTTTTTATTACACCTTTGAAGGTAAATTAGTTACATTTGTTATGAAACCTAGCTTACGATTATGAAGTTTTGTATTTTTACTAACGGAAGACTGTGCTATTGCGTAGGAAGTGTGGGACTGTGCTGTTTTAGGTTATCTAAATTTTTTACCAACTATAACCCGTCGGCCCTGTCTTGTCGTCTTATATCGATGAAAATCAAAACTTCCCAGCTGAAGTCCTTCATACCTACCTAACATAAATGGAAGAAAATGAATCCTATACTAGTGTTCGAAATACATAATTTTATAATATTTGATGAGGGTGATCCCAAATATTTTTACTCGGCCGATTCTCATATGTTTTTATTAGTCTTTGTTGAGATTTACTCGAGTTACGTTAGATGTACTTTTATATATAGTTTTTGACAATTATAATTGATAATATGTAGTTACGTCCACTAATTAGAATTTTATAGTGAGTGTTTAGTGCGTGTTTAAGAAACGCTCTGGTAGGGAGACATTATGGCGAGGTATGTACTCGGGATTTTTCTATGAGTTATGCATCGACGGCCACCGAACCTGTCCTGTAAAACATATAACGTTATTTATTTTAAAGCTGTTACATTACATATTTTTATAATACTTACCGTCGGTTTAGTTGAAATAAATTGAATCATTATTATAAGATACTAGCAGACCGGCCAAGCGCGTTGCTGTGGCTAAGGTTTTTCTTATATTACATAGTAGTAAACTATTCAAGGGAAACGGTAGGAGAACACTAGTCATGGGGACCACCATGCTTTATTGGTAGTTATGCCATTGAATTGTGGCTTATGTGAAACGTTGGTACTTCAACACAGCGCCATCTGTTAGAATTGTGACTGTTAAATAATAAACAAGTATTTTGCAATAAAATAATATAATCTTTTAAGTTGGATCAAACTGCACACGGTGTGCAAAATATTTGATATCGGTTCGGTAGTCAGGAGTCGATAGTGGACAAACGTGACACGTAATTTATATATTAAGATTTACGACAGATTACACAAGTAATTAGTTTAATTTTGTCTCATATTTTAACAATTTTTTTTAGAGGTTATTTGGTGAGTTGAATATTTTAATAAAGTTTTATTTTTACAGACTACTTTATTATAAATGTTTTACCATTTTTGAAATTATTTGGCAAGTTGAATATTATAATAAGTTACATTTAATTAATTTATTATTTTTAGAAGTTTCAAGTCTGTTTAATATTGTAATATTTTTACAGAACTAATTATTTCAATTTTTTATATATATATTTTATACCATTTTTAGAAATTATTTAGTGACTGTTATTATAATAAGGTTTTTACATATATAATTTACTTTAAAATAATTATTCATTTTTAGAAGTTCAGTTAGTTTAATATTAAGGTATTTACAAAAGTAATAAATTTTACAATAATTTTAGCCATTTATCGTAGAAGGTTAGTTTAATATCATATTATGACTTTGTTATACGAAAATTCAATTGAAATGTATTGTTTGAAGTATATTTTATTGGTAATTAAAGCTTAAATGTTTTATATATATAATCAATACAAACAATTTTTTTTTTTATTACTACGTTGAATAATATTCTAAACTATCTTAAATATATGTATTAATAAAAAAATTATTTGATTTTATAGTGTCTTTGTTACTTAGAAACGACGCCAATCCTTATAGATTAAGATGGCTGGAGTAATAATGTACAATGTTTTTCTTTTGTGTAACGATTGTTTCCAGTATGACTAGACCCAATAAGAATCCGGGGTTTTAGTCCTGAGTTACGAAGTCGTTTTAGGGACGAGGCATATAGAATTCGAACTTTATGGTTATTTCATTGGTGAGACTAAAGCAGCTTGCTTTCCAATGCAGTAGGTGCAGGCTATAGGGCAGTCGTAAGTTAAACTTACCACGAAGCTGCAGCAGATCGAGTGGCTACAAATTTAAGTCCGTGGCGAGACAATTAGTAGATCGTTAGTCCAAACATAGAAGATATTTCTTAAAATCGATTGGACAAATGTAGCGTTACTTCAAAGAAAGATTCAGAACAAATTTGATGTCTAGAATCTCAAGAGGAAAACGAAAATGTTTTGAGTGTCAAATGATGAGTTTAACATTGATTGTTTTTCAGTTTCATAGGTATTGAAGTAGTAATAAAATGCTTCGGTCTATTTTTTCTTACCTCTACCTTTTGTTTATACCGCAAGTATTAATAGTTATGAATTTGATGTTGATTGCTTAATGCGATATTGTGATAATGGCAGCCGACATTGGCGCCATTTGGCGCTTTGACATGGTGAAATGAATTTAATAAGAATGATAACAGTAAAAGCGCTATTACTGTTGAATAGTCGTTAATTTGTTAATATATTAATGATTAACGTTAATAAGGAAATGTAATGAAAATATAGATACTTATTTGTTGAGGGATTCTTCAAATAATTTTTAGGATTTTTTTCAAAACTTGTACAGAAATTAAGATAAAGCTAAGCGACAATTTATTACCCGTAATACGGCCTTACAGAGTATCAAACTGGGAACGGAAAAATAAAAAACCAGAACTGAAGGACTGATCCTAACATGAGAACAACAAACGAGCCCTCTACCGCGAATCGATAATAATCAATTGGATAATATTTCAGTCATGGGTATTGTATTACACAGGGCCTCGCATCAGGGTACTATTAGAAAGCTGATGGTATTTCTGGTCTTAAGTGAGAGCAAGGGTAGCAAAGATGAAAAAGATGACCTGGTAAGATAACTCGATAGGACAACGACACAGTAAGACTGTATATTAAGAGGTATTAATATTATTATATTTTTTTTTTTGCTGCTTAGAGATTTAAAATATATAAGAACCAAGCATTCGCAAGTTTAGGTTTTAAGGAGGAATTAGTAATCCACCCGTAGTCAATTTTACATGCACCATGTTAAATGGGAGCATTCAAAGTTGGCATTGCTGATAAAGAAGTTTGATTTACTTCAAATGAGTAAGACTCTGCTGAATGTTAACATACTGCAGAGCCTAGTCTTTCATGACATTTCTTTTGCGGTAATTCACTTTGGGTATATTACAAAGGGTTGCTTTTTGATACAGACTCAAACAGACATAAGTCTCAATTTCATTAACAAATCTGAAACTTCGATGTCACGTCATGTCGACAATTTAACTTGCTTATTAAGGCTGTTGTTCTTTTTATGTACTGTGGCTATGTGCTTAGAAATTCAAAATTACATATGACCTTTTAACATATTATGTATTCCCTACAAACCAATCAATACTTGGTTAGTTTAAATTTTTTTTTTAATTTTTTTTATATTATTGGTCTTAATAATGGATATGAAATACTTTCATTATGTCTGATGATAGAAATATCTTAAAACAGAATTGATTAAATGTTGTAATGAAGTTTAATAATGTAAGAAAATTATTGTATGATCTTGATCGGTTACCAATGAGGTTATATTTGACAAAGTAATGTCAAATTATTTGATAAAGTAATTTCACATTTAATTCATCTCCAGAAGTGATAGTATCCTAATAAAAGTGATGGCTTAATATAATAAGTAAGTTTTGAGTGCGTTGAAATATGTTGATGAAAAATAATACTCTAAAGAAGTAGGGTTGTAGTAGTAATAGTTCAAGTATTTGTTGTGCTTTCGATAAGTATTTTTTCTGAAGTGAAGCGCATGAGGGTAAAATTTTTACGAAACGGCACGAAAATGTGCAGCGTTTTTGTCAAAGAAAAGAGGGAGAGAGCGATTGAGACTTGAACACCGATGGTGTTTTTAATACATATCAATATCATTATTATTTTATTATGGGAAAAAAATTACCATTTTTTTTTTTTTTGTTGGTTTTGGACCTTTTGCTAAGACCCAGTTGGCTATTTTACAAAATGTGGACATTAGTAAGCAATTATGATAGTTATTTCTTATATTATTGAACTAATTTTAGCTCTGGTTTTTAATTAGCCTTGGTATCATTTAATAATATAGAAAGACTGGGAAAATTAAATTATGGGATTTGCACAGCTTAATTACTCAATAATTAATCTACAAAGAAGTTTCACTTTTGACATGTGTACTTTGTACTCACGCACTATTTATTCGTATAATTGACACAGACTAGAATATTTATTTATTTATTTAGTTAATAAGCTTGCGACATCACGCACAGTACTGGATCTGCTAATTGTTTTACAAAGTCTTACATCTTAAGTGTGTGACAGTTGATGTAAACATTAGTTTTACAAAAAAATATATAAATTATAAAGTACAATTAAAACATATACGAATATCAATTTCACATGATAAATTCACTATTGTGAATATAAAGAGATCATAATGGACTTAGTTTGGTAAAACTTTATTGTGATCTTAAAAAGATCACAGTAGTTTCAATTATGTAGGACTTTATTGTGAATATAAAGATATCTCAAAGGATTTAGTTATGTAAACTATATTGTGAATATGGGTAGTTTACATAACTAAATCTAATATCACAATGCATTTAGTTATATAAACTTTATTTTGAAAATAAAAATATCACAATAGATATAGTTGTATAAACTTTATTGTGAATATTAAGAGATCACAATAGATATAGTTATATAAACTTTATTGTGAATATTAAGAGATCACAATAGATATAGTTATATAAACTTTATTGTAAATATTAAGAGATCACAATAGATATAGTAATGTAAACTTTATTGTAAATATAAAGAGATCACAATAGATATAGTAATGTAAACTTTATTGTAAATATAAAGATATCACAATAGATTTAGTCATATAAACTTTATTGTGAATATTAAGAGATCACAATGCATTTAGTTATGTTAACTTTATTTTAAATATAAAGATATAAAACAGATTTAGTTATGTTAACATTATTGTGAATTTTAAAGATCACAATGCATAAAAAGATCACAATACATTTAGTTACGTAAACTTTATTTTAAATGTAAAGAGATAAAACAGATTTACTTATGTAAACTTTATTGTGAATTTAATGAGATCACAATGCATTTAGTTATGTAAACTTTATTGTGAATATAAAGAGATCACAATACATTTAGTAATGTAAACTTTATTTTAAATGTAAAGAGATAAAACAGATTTACTTATGTAAACTTTATTGTGAATTAAAAAAGATCACAATGCATTTAGTTATGTTAACTTTATTTTAAATGTAAAGAGATAAAACAGATTTACTTATGTAAACTTTATTGTGAATTTAATGAGATCACAATGCATTTAGTTATGTAAACTTTATTGTGAATATAAAGAGATCACAATACATTTAGTAATGTAAACTTTATTTTAAATGTAAAGAGATAAAACAGATTTACTTATGTAAACTTTATTGTGAATTTAAAAAGATCACAATGCATTTAGTTATGTTAACTTTATTTTAAATGTAAAGAGATAAAACAGATTTATTTATGTAAACTTTATTGTGAATAAAAAGAGATCACAAAACAGATTCAGTTATGTAAACTTTATGGTGAATTTAAAGAGACCACAATGCATTTAGTGATGTGAACTTTATTTTATAAAGAGATAAAACAGATTTAGTTATGTAAAATATATTGTAAATATAAAGAGATCTCAAAAGATTTAGTCATGTAAACTATATTGTGAACATAAAAAGATCTCAAAAGATTTAGTTATGTATGTATGTAAGACTATTGTGAATGTAAAGAGGTCACAGTAGATTTGGATGTGTCCGACTATTGTGAATGTAAAGAGGTCACAGTAGATTTGGATATGTAAGACTATTGTGAATGTAAAGAGGTCACAGTAGATTTGGATATGTAAGACTATTGTGAATGTAAAGAGGTCACAGTAGATTTTGATATGTAAGACTATTGTGAATATGAAGAGGTCACAGTAGACTTGGATATGTAAGACTATTGTTAATTATTGATGACTTGATATTATAAAAGAGTACCGAGAGTTTTTTACGCCGGCTTTTTCTCTCGGCCTACACCCCATGTCTTCTTTGCCGATGAATAGGGATTTCTACCGATACATATTTAATGACGTGAAATAGGTGATACCTGTATCTTTTATTCCATTATAAATAAACATAAATTAAATTTAGGTTCAATTTAACTAAAGAGATGTAATTCAAGAATGAAAGTTAAAAGATACATAGAATTAATTTTGTTTCTGTTTTGAGTTGTAATTTACAAAGCATTGTTTTTGTTTTTCTTTTTTTTGCGAGACGCAAACATTGTCAGGAAAGGCCGACTGTTAGCTTTTATTATTTATTTAATAATATTCTAAATAATTTATGAAACATATTCTTTTGCTACAAGTGCGCATGTGCAATAATTACTCATTGCCTCGTTCGGTTATTCACGAAATGTTACGAATTGACTCGAATAACTGCCCGAAGTGGGAAGGTCGAGTCAGAGTGGGGACGAGAGCATAAAACATCTGGTAACACATGCGCACAGGCCATTCCTTTGTTCAAGTTGGTGTTTGTACATTTTACGTAGGGTCAGTGTGTGAAATATAGTAAATCAAGTCATCATTGGAGTGTTTAATTTCCTACCCTAAGAACCAGATCAACTAGCCCTAACACTATTATGTGGTGTAAGTAGAAAATAATATTAACAATAATGCGTAATTCAGTCCCCGCCCCGCATCGTAACGTTTTACAAAAGGATAAAAAATTCGTTACGTAATACTTGAACGCTCCCCCAAGGCCTAGGGCATGAACGTCATTTTTATACATTTAGTTTTCGACTTTCTACATACACTATCGTTAAGGCGTCTTGACTAAGCCCCTTTGGCTGAGAACGAAGCGTTTTCGCCAATACAATTACGCAAAAGCGGTGGTGTATGTAGAAAACTTATCGGTAGTGATACGGCTACACCTAAGTTGTATATTTAACGAATTCATCATCTACAAATCCATGCCAATTGCCGTATACGTCAGCACTCCGAGTTTTCTGTCAAATGCCATACCTCAAGTGACAAATGCTATTAATTATCTAAACGGCAAGGGCTCAGGCAGTGTTGCCAACTTAGCACTTTCGGTGCTAGATTTAGCACTATTTTCGCAATTCAATCACTGTCATTTAACATTCAGCACCTAGCACTAAATTTAGCACTAAACAGCCATCATTCGGATTTCTCTGGTTGCTGTAACAAAACGCAGCCGTGCAAGGTGTAGTAATAAAACGCTACTATAATTTTTAAATCGAACGCGCCCATATCTGTCTAATCTATGTTAGGGGTAGAGGTATCTCAATATAAAGATGCAAACAACGAAAATCCCTATAATGAACTAGTTTCATTGGCATTTATATTACTATCATTGCCGCATTCTAACACCGATGTTGAGAGGGTGTTCAGTTCAATAAACATTTTAAAAAATAAACGGAGGAATAAAATGAATTTGACGTTCTACATACACTACTGTTAAGGCATCTTGACTAAGGCCCCTGGGCTCAAAAACTTAAATAAAAATTGCCATACATATGAAATTCCCCAAGAAGTTCTTAAAAAATTGGCAAAAAAGATATGTATTCATTTAAATTGAACAAGTCTGACAGCGAAGAACCTTCCACTTCCACGGCGGCTTCAGCGTCAGTACAACGAGAAGCAGAATCAGCAGTATAGACAGACGATAGTGAAGATGATTGGATGTAGTTTTAAATAATTATTATCATATTAAACCAAAATTAAATTAGTTATATCTTTTTTTTCATGTCTAAAAAAATAGCACTATTTTTGATATTTTTTATCAATCTAGCACTATTTGAGATGTCATTTAGCACCTACCTAAGAGATCGAGTTGGCAACACTGGGCTCAGGCCTCAGACATTCCTTTCTAGTTTGTGCATTTATCGTAGCAGGAGGTTATTATAACCAAAATGTAAGTTAATTCAAAAATATCTTTTAAATCCTTTTACTTATGATACGTAATGCAGCTAATTAAAGTTTATTAGACCAATATCTATTCTATTTAAAATATATTTCCCCAAATTTGTATTAAAACGTGTTTTTCAGGTCTAAGGTATCCCGTGATACCCTTTACGAATGCGTAAATGCTGTGTTGGATGCTTCTAAGGAGAAGAAGCGTAACTTTTTAGAAACAGTGGAAATCCAAATTGGATTGAAGAACTATGACCCACAGAAGGACAAGCGTTTCTCCGGCACCGTCAAGTATGTTTACCTGAATAGGCAAATTTTGTGGTTTAATTTACTAAACTACATGTGTGCTTAATAAAGCCTATTGGGCTATGCTAAATATGTTTTCAACCACAAAACTTGTCCTGGACAGGGAGTCAGTCTCCTCTGACGGGACTTTACCCGAAGTCTTAAAATAATGGGTAGGTTTGCTTCGGCTTACCGATTATTTCCATACAATACCGTTAGAGCTTGGCTGTGGGTAAGAGAAATTTAAGTTTAATTAGTCATCTTAAAATGGTACTAAAAGTATCATTATGTATTTCAATAAAATACTATTTATTATCTGGTACTGAACACTATCTTCTTAAATCCCAGTTACTTGTTTAGTTTTTGTTTGTACCTTTTTAAACCCTGTTGTACTTTAAGATCATGATGATTTTTAATTTAATTGCATGTATTATCTGATATTGATGAACACTACAATCTGATAACTTGAAACTAACTTGAATCATTTTGTTTGTGTTTTGTACCTGTATTTAATTGTTTATCTTGTTTTCAGGCTCAAGTACATCCCCAGGCCCAAAATGCAAGTGTGTGTGCTTGGTGACCAGCAGCATTGTGATGAGGCCAAGAGCCTAACTGTACCATGCATGGATGCTGAAGCTTTAAAGAAACTGAACAAGAACAAAAAGCTCATTAAGAAACTGGCAAAGAAGTAAGTTACGAGGTTAAACATAATCTATCATATAGGAGTCATTCCTATTTTACATAAATTTATAGATGCTTATTAATAATTACTGCAACTTTTTTACTTCCTTGGTTTCATTTGTAAAACTTGTGCTGTACTTGTTTTAACCAATATACCTCTTAGACTAGTAGAGTATTGTATTTTAAATTGGTATACAGTCAAAATATGTTAAAACAACCTGGAACTTGGAAGAGACTGATTCAATCGTACTGTAATCAATGACGTTGTTATTAAGTTCCTAGTACAATAGAATTCAGCTGGGACCTTTGATTTTGGTCAATATAACCGGTATGTTGTTCACAACAATGTCGTTGTAAATGGTTTTGACTGTATATAAGGTATAAAAGGTTTTAAATAATTTATTTTAATTCCAGATATGATGCTTTTCTTGCTTCGGAATCACTGATCAAGCAGATCCCTCGTCTGTTAGGTCCTGGTTTGAACAAGGCTGGCAAGTTCCCTGGTCTCCTATCTCATCAGGAATCCATGACTCAGAAGATTGATGAAGTCAAGGCAACTATCAAGTTCCAGATGAAGAAGGTATATAATGTTACTTAATACCCCATTTAAAGTTTTTTGTTCCCAAATTGTGCTGCTCCTCCTTATGAAAAATTTTCAAAATAATCAATTTGTATAGGAATCATTTATATTGTTACAGTAGGTAAATACTAAGGGAACTAAAAAAAATATATAGATTTATACAAGCAATACATTTATTATGTAGTTTGAAAATAGTAGTGCAAATGTTACATTGTTTTTATTTAGATTTAACATTTAGTATGTAAACAAATGTTTCTTGTGCTTATTTAATTTTATCTATTATTTCAGGTACTTTGCCTGTCTGTGGCAGTTGGACATGTTGGTATGAGTCCCGATGAGCTGGCTCAAAATGTTCACTTATCAATCAACTTCTTAGTGTCCCTCCTTAAGAAACACTGGCAGAATGTCAGATCCCTTCATATGAAATCTACAATGGGACCACCCCAAAGATTGTACTAATTTTAAAATACATTTATTTGACATTAATTTGTATTATTTTTTCTGCATATACACATGTGTTATATGGCCACAAAATAACAAACACAACATGCCCTCACGTCAAAATAAACAAGCACTATTAGCGATAACAGTACTATTGTCCTCGTCACGATGATTGTACCTATAGGCGGGAGGTGACGCTTCAAACGTAGTTGTTTTGTAATAAATGTAAATTCTACTACGTTTCGCATTAAATTATACGAGATCCTACTTTCAAAGATATGGCCAAATGCTATTTGAGATGATAAATTAATTATTGAAGGACATGGTCATTTCATTTGATTTTTCTACGATACACTAGTGTTTTAACTAAACTGAACCTAGTCCTTAGGTAAGAGAAATCATAGGCAGACTTTATCTTATGATTGCATACCCTTGTAATTTTGTATACCTAAGGATAGAATTTTACAACTGATGGTATTAAAATTATTTCACTGCATTGATAACTTGGATATAATAGAAAAACACTCAACTAATCAAAAATCTGGTTTTTTATTGAAGATATTACAAAGTTAAATAATATCACTTAAGCTTTTTGAATCTGGGTTTATTATGTCATCATCGGTGTCATCACTATCGTCATCATCTGGTAGCTGATCATCACAATCTTCAGAAGATTCTTCACCAACACTTTGTTGAGATGCTATGACTTCGCCATGAATATTTTTATTTTTAAGATTACCCATCCAAAATGCTTCTGAACAGTTGTTAGCAGTTAATGCAGCTTTTACTTTATAAATTAGTGTCTCTAGCAGTTGCCTCATATATGGAACTTTGCTCATTAGCACACTATCTTTCTTCAATCTCGAATGGCAGCAAAGCGATTGCAAAAATCTTGTAGTTTGCTGAAGAGTTTTCAATATCTCTAATACTTCCTGTGTTTCGCTTTTGAATTGCAATTCTATGATTGGCATTCCATGAGTTAAAAATAGTTTTATTAGAGGTAAGGATTTCTTGAAAAATGCTGATAGATTATTTCTGCTTTCAAAATTCTTTGATATATCAGTCATACACTTCAGAATAAATGTAACATCTTTCCATAATTCTAAGTGCTCAGAGTTCGTAAGTCCTCTATTAATTTTCCTCTTTGTAACTTCACCGAGGGCTGTCCCTAAATTTCTATAAAATACCGGAAAATTGGATTTGTTAATGCTTTTGAAAGAAATTAGTGTGTTATTACGACTTTTTAATGTTTCTATTTCATTAACTAAAGAACTAGAAATATGTCTTAGTTCTAGAATTTCACTGTTTATTAAATACTCTTTTGCAAAACCATCAATACTTTGATTTAATAGCAATCCCTTTTCTAATACACCATCTGAAGATTTCCATTGTTTCGACAAAAACTTGTTAGCTGTATCTCTAACAATCTTTAAAATATCACTGTGAGAAGAAAACCCTTGAAGAGCTTTCATAACTTCTAATAACGCAACAGCTGTAGAAAGTTGTAAGCAATATTTTGTATGAACCTGTAATAGTTTTGCTACAGCTACTAATAAATCTCTTAATGTTGCTGAATGATCAGTTAACCCTAAAGATGCTACTAAACTTCTTAGAGAAGTTTTTAATAAAGCAATATTATTATTATTGTGAAATCCGATCCATTTTAAGTATATTGACAACAAGTTGTATATATTTTCAATAGAAACGATTATGTCTAATATCTTAGCAGAATAAATAAACCCACTTTCATTTTGACTTCCGCTCACAGCATGCTTTTCAAAGTACGAAGTTAACAATTTCAGGTGAATCGTTAAATTTGGCATGAAACTGTTTACATAATTTGCATATTGTTCAGCTTTTATTTTGTCGTACACTAAATCATTTTCAGTACCTTTAGATAGATATGATGGTTGTTTAATTTTTGCAACTAATACGGGTTCAAGTGTAGAACAAATGTTTTTCAAAATATACTTCAAAATTTCAATAGTTAAGTCAGGATTACTATCACTTATTTCATCATTCTCGCATAAATCATGTTTTAGTAAATTACTGATACTTAACGATAAAGGCCTAAATTTTAGTTTATGAACATAATCAAATTTATTTCTTAATGAATTACTCCGTTGAGTTCCTTGAGTTCTACTAGTTTCCGGAAGTGTTTCGTCATTACTTGTATACTTTTGACTTCTATGTTTATTACTTTGAGTCTTTGTAACTTTATTCACTAAACAGTCTGAAGTGTGTATATAGAAGTTATTTATAGGAAATTTATATGAAATATTGGTATTGACTATAATTTTAGCAACGAAGGTCTCCAACTGTTGGACCTGTGAAATTCTTTTAAAAAGTTTAGGTACTAGCGAGGTATCGTTATATGATGAAAACGCATTAACTATTTCACGTATCCAGTTTACGCAATGTACAAGGCAGTCCAGTATAAGATAAATATTGTCAGATTCCATATCATCAATAACTTCAATGTCAAAACAAGGCATTACAATTGCACACCCTAATAATGCATCTATGCTGGATAAAGATCCTTTATGCTGTCTTAAATGTAATGTTTGGACAAGTTGAAATAGTGGAGACAAGAGACTTATGTTTACATCTTCCTTTTTTTGTAGAATTAAACCTCCAATATTTATTGCGATAACTTCATCTATTTCACTGTCACTATTTAAACAATGCTGCATATTTATTTGAATGTTGCCAATTTTTTTTGATTCAAAATCATCTACCATAAAATTTTGCTGTAGGTCATTTGTCACAGCCTCAGTAAGCCAAACTAAGAAATGTTCATTCATAGGATTACAAGGTTGAACCACTTTACAAAGTTCTTCATAAAAAAATACAATCATATCTGGACATTGTCTTGTACTTCTACTAATAAGTTCAATTATTTGAGATGCCTCTTGTAAATCTCCTTTCTTTAAATGATCAGAAGTAGAAGAGCTATCTTCCAGCTGCATATTGTTATTTACTGTTTTAGGTGCCATAAGATACTTTACAGCATAAATCCCAGAAATAATACCTTGAACTTTCACTGAAGGATTTGAACTCCCTAATTCTTTTCTAATTATCATATGTATGTCATCTCTGATTACAGAGTTCTCAGACGCATATGCGAGACAACATAACAAGTTCATGGCAGCTCTAATTTCCATTAAATTCATATCATCCATTCTGTCTAACAATGTTAACATTTGTACACACTGTGGTCTTAGTATAGAAACATCCTTTATTGCAACATTATTAAGGATGATTAACATATTCATCACACACTGTTTGCAATCTAGTCCAAGTTGAAGTAATTCTGCAACTATTGTCTGTCTGCATTCTTTAAGTTGAGAAAACATTAAAGTATAAATATGTACTGCCAGAGTCTGAATCATAAGGTTTGACTTTGTTTTTAAAAGGCAATTTGTGAGGTTTATCAAACATTTCAGGTTGACTTCTAATATTGGTTGAAACTTATCAAAAGCCTCACTGAAGAATTCTTCCTTTAGTATATTTAATTTAGATTGTTTATTTAATAAGTTTTCAACTAGTTTTTCTTTTTCTTCTGATGATGAATAAAGGATCAACATTATAATAAAATCAATTGGTTTTTGATCATTACTGTTTTTACAATTAGTAATAACTTTAAGCCAGGCATTGCTAATACTTTTTGAGGAAACCATAGAATTTCTTATTGCTGTTGCCGTGAGCACTTGACTGGAGGCAATATCTTGAGGTTTAGCAATTGATGTAGGCCAGCCCAGTGCATTTCTTAGGTCATGTATTATTTCAATACATTTATTATCAGTCATGCGACCTGGCATAAGAAGGAACTTCACAAAATTTGGAAAATAATTACATTTTGATAAACTCATTAATATATTTAAAGTCTTTTTCTGTAACTTTTCATATTGCTCATCTGACAAGCATAGGTAAGACAAACAGTCTAGAATCGCTGGAATCAACTCGTGATCTTCCGATAAAATCCTGCTCATTTCATTTGCTATATTATCATGTTCTTGATCTCCAATAATGTCAGGAATTGAAGTTATTATTTCCAGACGGACCATTTTTTCCGTTGCTATATCTAGTAAATTAATAAGATTAGTTGACATTTTCTCTGTGTCTAACAGATTGTCTAATGTTGAAAAACACTTTAATATCATTTGTATCCAAGGGCCACATTTTGATTCAGTTGCCAAATCTATAGCTTTTTCAATAATATAATCCATTAATTTTGTTTGAATAATTGGAATACTTAGAAGAATTTTAATAATGCTATCATTAACAATTATGTCATTATTTTCAGTAGTTGTTTGTATAATGTTAGGGTACAAATAATGTTTAAAAACAAGTAAATCCTCACAGTCTTTTTGTAAGTTTGTGAAAAATTGTGATACATTGCATGGATAATCCGGATGTTTTTGAAGATTTTTTTTTAGATTTCGTATGATATGAACGGTTTCTAATGTACTTACGCACTTTACAGGTGGTAAATTCAAAATTAAACCACTTTCTTCAAACACTGTTCGCATGTATGTCGGTTCCTGTGAATTATTACTTTTTCGCTTTTTGTTTAGATTTGGATTTAAATTAACTTTTCGAGTTTGCGACTGTCGCTTTTGGCTCATATTTCGATTTTAATAACTATTAATGAAATTAATAAATATGACGATTACTTTAGAAATGATTCATACTATATTTATGTTAAGTTTTTGAATTTCATCTACGTCTCCGTTTCGTAACTTGAAAAGTGTTTGAATTTTGAAAGTTTGAATTTTGAAACATTAAACAAGTTAAAAAATTTGTTTGTTTACACAGGCGATAAAAGACCATAAACTTCTGTGGACTACATAGAATACAAATAGTTCAAACAACTGATTTTAGAACACATGGTGGCAAATAAATCTCTGTGGTGGTATTTTGGTCTGTGCAAATTGAATGTTTGGCAGAAATTCTATCTATATAGGATCAAATGAAAAAAAGCGCGGGAAACGTTGGTCGTGGCGGGAGTGTTTTTTCTTGTGAAATTTTTAAATTTAATTTTACTTGTATAAAAGATCAGTTTGTATATATTTGTATGTAGTAATTTAATTTAATAGTTTAGTTTATTCATTTGTGTATATATTCTACAGTATCTGGTAAGTTTGTATACTTTTTCCTCAAGGCCTGGAGTCAGGCGAAAAAATGGACGAGCCCCCGGATATCGGGGGCTCGCCCCCCCGAGGTAGCTTGTAATATTATAATAGAAAATAGATTTTCTAAACTGGACGAGTCCAGTGTAGATACAGATGTGGATCAACGGAATGACCAAAAAAGAATGCGACTAGGTAAAATTTGCAAACACTGCAACAAAAGGAAAAAAAAGATTCGATCCGACGCGTCGGAACAAACAAAAGGACACTGATTGTTCGTGCCAAATACCGGAAATTGAAATTCCCTCAATATATACTGGGCTTAAGAACGCTAATGCTCTAGATAGTTTTCAGAACAAAGTAGACCGTGTAGATACTACAACTGTTAATACCCAACAGCACCCATCACCACCATCAGATGTTTCTCAGTCCATAAAAAATCCTATAGGCCGAACCTTTTATGAGACCTATGACATAGGGCCATTCGTAGTTCATGCGCAAAAAGTTTCTTCAGATACGGACATCTCCTCCCTACACCCCGTCCACTTTGGGTATTTCCTCAAGAAAAATTCTTTTAAAAACATAATTAATGGTAGCATCAAAAGGATAGGCAGAAACCGAATTTCCCTATCATTCTCAGACCACAAATGTGCAAACGAATTTATTAATAACCCTTGTCTGGCAAGAAATAATTACAAAGCTTTTATTCCCTCATTTAATGTGACCCGAATGGGCCTGGTGCGAGGCGTTCCCGCGGAATGGTCTCCCGAAGAGACATTAGACAACATCTCTCTGCCTGTAGGCAGCGGAGGAATTATAAAAATTAGACGACTAAATTATAAAGTACGTAACAGCAGCCCTCCTGAGTGGAAGCCATCACAGACTATTGTAATAACTTTCGATGGTCAAACCCTACCTAAACATGTATTTGTCTGCTACAATGCCCTGCCCGTGGAACTTTATGCATATCCCACTATTCAGTGCTATTCTTGTTGCCGATTTGGTCATACTAAGTCTAATTGTAACTCTCGGCCCCGCTGTTACAAGTGTGGCCATGGCCACACTGGGGACACATGCAACATACAAGATGATGCCGCGTCTTGCTGTCTATGTTCTGGTCTACACTTTGCTACAAACAGAAAGTGTCCAGAATATGAACGGCAGACTAAAATTAAATTGTATATGGCTCAGAAATGTGTATCTTACGCAGAAGCAAATAAAGTGTATGATCCAGTTTCAAAATCTTTTGCTGATATAGTTAAGTTTTCAAACATCCAGAATACTCCTAATTCTCCAGTCCCACATGTATCGCCTTCCTCTCCCTCGATTCCGTCGGATAGTAGATCTTATAAGAAAACAATATTTGCTAAACCAACATCCCCTAACCCAAAACGACTGGGGTATAACAAAACAGAACATTTGAATTTGATAAAGGACTACGACGCTCCAGCTCCTTCTAACGGGGTCGCTTTAATAAACAGTAACGTTAACAATGAGGACATAATCTCTGATTTAATCCAATTTTTTACTGAAATTAAATCCAATTCTAACTCTGACAACAACGTAACTGAACAACGTCGCCAAACGATTGCTTCCATAACTAAATTAAAATCCGCTTATGCGTCACGAACGCGAACAAATAATCCAGTGGAATTGCAGAAGCGCTATCTGCAATAAAAATGATTTAATCCATTTGCATAATAAATTTGAACCATTTGTCTCAACTCTGTCGGAAACATGGCTTCGCCCGGAATAATTGACTTTTCGAATTCCAGGTTAGGTATGTTATTCTCCGACAGCACAGACCTTGACGGCTGTGGTGGTGTTGCTATAGTCATTAAAAATTATCTCCCCTATTCCTTATTTTCACTTCCCCCATTCGGAGATGACTTATCAGTCATTGCTGCTATTGTAAATAAAATTTGTATAGTGTCTATTTATTTTTCTCGTCCTAATGTAAATATTTTTACGTCAAAATTTAATGCGGATATGATGTAGGTGATTTAAATCATATAATGTTTGTTTGTCTTCGGCGCGACCGGTCGGCTCTTCTCGAAGGTCTCATTTCCCTTCAAATTCCGTTCCCTTCATCCATATCAAGTTTACTTTCAACTTTACAACCCATATGTATATAAACTTTTCGCAGCTTTTATCTTAAGTAATAATATAAAAATTTAGACAATATGAACGTAAATATATGTAAATATGTTTTCTTACACTCCTTTTGTATGTAGATTTATAAGAATTGATCTTTTATTTTATAGTTTAATTATTTTCTATTCCTAAATTCCTTTCCAGTCGATAATTTTATGTTTTTACCCGTTTCCCTGTTTTTGACCCTGGGCCACAATGCACAAACCGTGCGGGCCATTTAAAAAAAAAAAAAAAGGATCAAATGACAAATTTGTATTTTATTTTATAATTAGTTTAGTTTCTGGGTACAGGAGCCAGAGATTATTCATAAAATCAATATTGTGCTTTAAATATGATGCTTAACGGCATATCAAGTTTTTCTAAATTCATATGGAGATCACAGGAAGTTCCTGGTTTTGGGGTATGAAAATATAATTCTATACTATCAAGTATCATGCGTACAGTAAATGTAAATAGTAATAAGAATACATTCCTAATTACATAGGTGTGCCTTGAAGTTATCTACATTGTGACAAATAAAAGCTCTTGTAGCATGTTTCTGTTAATACAGACCACCAAAATCACACATTTGGGTATCAATAAAAAACTATTTTTAATAGATAATATTTCTACCTCAGTTTCAACAGCTTAGGAACAAATGGGCCAACCGTTGGATGATTAGAGATGTAAAGCGGCGAAGATTAAATGCTGAACACTTTTTGGAGAGAACACGAATTAATGCTATGCGGCGAAACACTGTATTGCCTACAGAAATAAGGGAAATTGCAGACAAAGAGATAAACAAATTTGAACTGAATGCTACTCCTTCACATATAAATAATAGATGTGCAGTCACTTCAAGGTATAATTTTTACTTGACTTATCTCATGGTAAACTGTTATATGTATCATATAAAAACAGAGCAAATGTTGCTCTTATTTTATATCTTATATAAGACTTGCCATATATGCAGGAGATAATATAATGCATAAGTTCCTCTCTTTAATTAATAGCTTGCATACTACATGGTACCAATTCAGGTGTGGGACTGACATCTTTTATGTGCTCCACCAAAGCAATGACAGTGCTGCAACACCAGCAACTTCCACTCTTAGGAAAATTAGAAAGCTGTTTTTTTTTAATTTTGGCCCTCCACCATGCCCCATGGTTTGAATCTTACACAAAACCTTATGAGCTGCAGTCTAACATCCTACCATTAGATAGTTATCTTTTATTAACCAAAATTTTAGCGAACAAATTATTTGGATGAAGTAGTATACACATGGTTTTGAGTGGTCAATTTAGTTTACTTTTTTTACCTGTATTTATATATTTTCAGGCCTAGAGGTGTAGTTAAAGAATGGAGACTGAGCCGTATTGTTTGGAGACATCTTGCCGATTATAATAAACTTTCAGGAGTTCAAAGAGCTATGTGGGGTTAAAAATCTTTGTGACAAAAAAATTACTTTTAAATAATTAGTTAATATAGACATATTATTCAATTTTTTCTTTAATTTACATTACATTATATAATGATTTTTTATATTAAGTAAACAAAGTAAAATTACAATTTCAATAAACCTACTGTACTTTTGAAGGCAGTTTTAAAGCTTGGGTCTGGGCCATGACTCATGACAACAGTATGTTTTTAGAAATTATTGTTAATAAAAACCAAACCTTCTATTTTGGTTAATAAATTTCACCAAGTTTAAAACTTAAATTAACTAAATTAATTATAGATAGTTTAAAACTTCAGATTTAATTTAACATAAGTATAGGATAGGGCAGTGTTGGCCTAGTGGCTTCAGCGTGCGACTCTCATCCTTGAGGTCGTAGGTTTGATCCCCGGCTGTGCACCAATGGACTTTTTTTAACATTCGCTCGAATGGTGAAAAAAAAAACTTCATAAGGAAACCGTCATGTCTTAGACTCAAAAAGTCAGTATGTTGGGCACTGTAGACTGATCACCTCTACTTGCCTATTAGATAAAAAATTCTCATGAAACAGATTCAAAAATCTGAGGCCCAGACCTAGAGGTTGTAGCTCCACTGATGCTTTTATAGGATATAATATCTTACAATATCAGAAAAATGTCATAATTCTCCAGAATATTGGGTATTGGGAATTTCTGGCTAAATAACCGTTGTTTTAATAGGCCTTCTGTGCCTGTGCTGACAACCAAGTCTTTTTAAACTCGAAGTAAAGTTATCTATGATTTGCAACGATTGATGCAGACTTGTAATTTTTTAGTTTTTACTAGTTCAAGCTAACTATTATTATTATAAATATTCTATTTTTGATTATTTTGAGTTAGAGTAATGGGCTTTTCCTATTGTATAAATAAATTTCTTTATTATAAAAGGAAATAATTGGGTAAAGCAACGCTAAATGAAACCAATTAGATAATTTTTATACATTTATAAAAATTATTTTCTTATGCCTAAGCTTCTTGAAGCTTCATGGAATAAAAGCTTTTGAAAATAAAGCTTTTTAGTCAAACAGACCTGAAACAAAAACAACATTATAAATTTTAAATTAAATACTTGTGTTATATGTAAAATTCCAATAATATGAATTCTCAGGGTAAATTGTTTTTCAGTCATGGTAATCTGAAGCTAATACATGCAGACATCATTGAAATATAAATTGTGGAAATAACCATTACTACAGTTTACTTTATTAACAAACCAACCAGCAAAATGAACTGAGGTTTACATGATTTTGACAATAAGAGTTTATTAAATATACAGTATGGTTATTTTCTAGAACATACATACAATATGAAACTTTAAAAATGAATAGTACATACCGAAGCCCATGTCATCATCAGACTCCTCTGGTTCTTCTTCCTTCTTCTTCTCTTCCTTAGCGGCCTCAGCAGCGGGTGCTGCGGCAGCTGCTGCCGGTGCTCCACCAGCTGCTGGCGCAGCTCCGACGCCGGATCCAATGTTTGTGATCAAATCACGAACATTTACGCCCTCGAGGGCTTTGGCAAAGAGACCCGGCCAGTATGGTTCAACGTCAACATTGGCCGCTTTCAAGATAGTTGAAATTTTCTCACCCTAAAACAATATACCATTTTAAGAAATATAACTTTATAACTCCGTAAGACACATTCAGAACGCAGTTCTTGAACTTTTTAATTATAAATGCAGACTTATTATGCGGATTGAAGTAGATATTTTTTAAAAGATAACCTTAAAATACCATGTTTATTTTCACCAAAAACATTATATGAGACTTATTCAACGATTACTTACAGTTACGGCAACGTCGTCATCAACTAGGATGAGAGAAGAGTAAACACAAGCTAATTCAGCCTTTGATGCCATTTTTGTTTATAATAGTGCAAGTCGCCTAGTGGCCTTAGCTCGAAGAGGACAAGCACGATTGACTTCCCAATTCGAAGAGAATAGGAAATCAAATAATATATGAAATAAATGTCAGCTGTCAAACTACAAATCGTCAATTATCAACCAATAATGGTAAATGGACCCACCACAGAACACATGTTGGGTGTTATCATAGGTATATAACACAATGTACACTTATGAACGTCAAAAAAGAATACTTTAAAGTTTAAAGAGTAAAGAGTCTCACTGACGCACAGTGGTCTGGGGCCTTAGTCAAGATGCCTTAACAGCCCTGTGATTCTGTAACTCACTTTTCGAACTCACACAGCGGTTTTCGCATCGGCGGTCGCTCTCAAATCAGTCGTGAAGCAGTCATTTTATGATTTGGGATTCTGATAAACAATAAACTACAAGCTCCCACCTTTTCAGAATGCCAAATCATAAAATGACTGCTTCACGGCTGATTTGAGAGCGACCGCCGATGCGAAAACCGCTGTGTGAGTTCGAAAAGTGAGTTACAGAATCGCAGGGCAGTAGTGTATGTAGAAAGTCGAAAACTTAATTTGTATGGAAATGACAGTTCGTGTCGAAAAGTTTTCATACAAATTTAGTTTTTGACGTTCTACATACACTACTGTTAAGGCATCTTGACTAAGGCCCCTGAAATCCCAAAAAGCTGGCCAAAAGTAGGATTTATTTTTATTTTCTAGGGACTTTGACATCAGGTTCCATCAGGTTGGAATAGTTGTACTGGTATACCTAGTATGTATTATGACCGTTATAAAAGGGGAATCATCCCTACCTGGCTTGGGAAATAACAGAAATTTCAGACACGTGTAGATTCGCGAAAAGTTATTATAACAAATATAATAATTGTTATTAACAATGTATGGAATAGTAATTTACTAATGAAAACAGTGGTATTTTCCTTGGTCACATTCTGATAAGTCCTGTTAAAAAAAGACATTGCTTAGACATTTCTTCAGAACATATCGAAAAATTAGCTGCAACTAGCTGCGAATTCGGTTTCGGTTATAATTTTTATGTGATGATGTGTGCACTTTCAGCGACCCCGAAAACCCCCCGAGTCCAGACTTTCACCCGAATTAAACACGTTTTCGAAGAAACTTTTCGCCGGATTTTATCCGCCATTTTGTTTTTCTAAATTTTGATTTTGAATTCGTGGTCAGGAACACCGAAAACCGCCGAGTCCAGATTTTCACCCTAATTAAGGGGCGTTCCCACGAGGCGTTAATCACGACAGTCAACCACGCTTTCGTGAAATACACTTCTGTGTGAACGCATAGGCGTTAAACTTGCTTTCGTGAGGAACGGCGCACGACACAAGCGTGGATAGATCAAACGTGTTTGATTTTCAGTCGTGTACGGTATATCCGTTCGTGAAGCCAATATGTCGTCACAACAACGTGGAATTAAGTTCAACGACAGTGAAACTACGCGTTTTTTGGAGTTATATTCTATGTTATATGATCCAAGTTTGGAGGAATACCGTGATAGAGATTTACGTGCCGCCGCAGCTAAGAGAATAAGTCATGAATGAACGTCTTTTTTTTCGTTTTCTTGTGTCCTGTAAGCGCTCAATCTTTTTTGCTATGATAGTAGCAAAAACCGAACTTAAAACAGCACAACTTTCAACAACCAGATCATTCATGATCGATGTTTCGATAATGACTAAGTCGAAACACGAAGCGTGAACGGCACGAAATCCCCCAACCATGTGAACGTTTCATCAATTCACACTTTCGTGAGTGTCACGAACGACAGTTGACTAGCGTAGTTGACTGTCGTGATTAACGCTCCGTGGGAACGCCCCATTAAACACGTTTTTGAAGAAATTTTTTGCCGTTTTTTATCCACCATTTTGTTTTTCCAAATTTAGAAATTCTTCGAATTCGTGATCAGCGACCCCGAAAACGTAAGTTTAGCAATATTCATGGAATTCCAATGACATCTTCATATTTTGGCCAGCTTTTTGGGATTTCAGACCACTGTGCGACGACGCGCGATGGCGACGTGGCCAGCGACGTTACCATGGCTACGTCTGGCGTCCCTGCGTCGCCAATGCATTCAATTCTATCTCGACTCAAAAACTAAATAGGTCTGGTCTAAATCTGCCAAACACAACTGGGTGTAAAGTTGTACTATCATTATCATCACGCTGTATTTTCTGCACATGTACCACAAACGGGCCGGGGTCATTGGCGCCATAACTAGCCCTACCAATTTGTGTGGGGGTTTTAGGAGAAATGCTAGTGGAAGGAACAGGCATTGAAGTAGTATTAGTGCAAGGAATAGCAGGCAAATTAACAGTGCTCTCAGAAAATTCATGTTTACAAACTTTGTGGAGATGGCTGCGCTTCAGCTTCCTTTTAGAAACCAAAGAACAGTCAGAATCCATACCGCATTCGTTGGAAATCGTGATAAATGCAAACGCAGGGGGCGCCGTGCCCCCCGGGTCCGGAGGCTCGTTCATTAAAATCCGAAAAACTTACTCCAACTCGAAGAAAGTAGAAGAAAAATAAAATAATACAAATTACAAATATATTAATACAAGTTTTAACTATTCTGATCACCTAATTGATTAAAAATATTATTTTACAGCAAATTCAAACAAAAACCGCGCCCGCCAAATTCGAAGGTTTCCCGCGTTTTTCCTCTCGATGAGTTAAAAGCTAACCCAACAATTCTGCTGGTAACAATGGGCGTGTTTGGCCGAAGTAAGTACTTACTAAACTTAGTAAGCCAGTAAGCATAAAAAAATTAAAGTCTTACAAGCTGACTGTAGCGCTTTTCGGCCAGGACAGACTTACTGGCTTATTAACATAACACAAAACACCGGTTTATGTCATATCCCGTACATAACCTCATAGACTGAATATAATTGACAGTACTAAATTTAGGAATATAATTTAATACCTGTGAATAGTTTCAAATGGATAATTTTATGAGAAATATTTTATTGGATATTTTATTGTCCGTTTTGTTTACATCAACAATAAGCAAAATGGCGTCGTATATTAAGCCATACTTACTGCGTTAGCACTTATTTTGTGTCCCGGCCGAAAATTTTGTAAGCATAGTAAGTGACTTACTAAATTTAGTAAGTACTTACTTCGGCCAAACACGCCCAATAATTCAATTGTCAAAAGAATAAAAAATCAAAAAGAATCAATTTTAAAAAACACGCAAATATGATACTACGAGTAAATTTTCTTTTCCCGGCTATATTCATTTGTTTTAGTGCAGTTCTATTTTAAAAAAATTGCTTTTTTTTAAGATTAAGGGCCAGTCTCTCCATATTTCTATAATTTAATCTAAAAAGTTTGCATACTTATTAAAAAAAATCATTTCAAAGTAATCCTGAAGTTTGATGCAGTTTATGAGTCCGTCAGTATATTTTTATATGCTGTATCATAAAACAATAAAAATAATAATAATAATAATAATAAAGCCTTTATTTCGTTCCATACCATTTACATTACATGCTAATACAACTAAACTAAAAATTTTGTGTTAATGTGGTTAGTAATACAGTATATGTAATATTATTTAGTAATTTAATATTGAAATAAATGTTAGTATTATTAGTACCATATTTTATTTTCCTAGGTATGGATCCCTATCTTGGGTATAGGCCTCCTCTAGCCGCTTCCAGTCCTCTCTGTCCTGACCCCTGATCATCCATTCTTTTCCGGCAACATGGACAATGTCATCGACCCAGCGTTTCTGAGGTCTGCCAACTCTCCTTTTTCCCCTTGGACCTAGCCATTTAGTAGCTGTAAGTGTCCATCTATCATCTTTCAAGCGAGATATATGTCCTGCCCATTTCCATTTTAGCTTCAGTGCATGCTTTAAGGCATCTGTAACTCTAGTTCTTTCTCTTATTGTTTCGTGTCTGATTTTGTGTATCCTTTTTAATTTTAAGCTCCATTGCTCTCTGACATGACCTTACTTTACTTTTGGTTTTGTTATCAAATACCCATGTTTGGCATGCATATGTTAGGCATGGTAGTAGGCAAGTATCCATTACAATCTTTTTGTATTCTGAACTGTAATTTCCTTTCAGAATCTCCTTATGTGACCAGTACCTGTTCCAGGTAATGTTTATTCTCCTGCAAATTTCCTTGTCATTGTTGGTGGTGTCAAACGATACCTGCTTCCCTAGATAGATATATGACTCTACATACTCTATTATTTTGTCATTTACTTTTATAGGTTTGTGCAGGCTATTTGACATGATTTTAGTTTTGTTGGGGTTCATACTCAGACCTACTTTTTTACTTTCCACATCCAGGATTTGCAGCATTTTTCCAGCGCTGATGCAGTTTCACTAAAAACAGCTATATCATCTGCGAATCTGAGATGTGTTAGGTGCTGATTTATTAACGGTATGCCCCTGCTTCCCAAATCAATATTTTGAAAGACACTTTCTAGGACTGCTATAAATAGTTTTGGGGACAGAGGATCACCCTGTCTTACGCCCCGTCTAATGGGAAACTCTGCACCTTTCGTTTCTAGTTTTATTCTACTTGTGCTTTTAGAATATAGGTCTTTAATGATTTGTATATATCTATCTTCCACTTTATTTTTTTCCAATGTCTGCCATATAGATGTGTGTGTTATGCTATCGAACGCTTTGGAATAGTCCACAAAAGCTATATAGAGTGGTCTATTGAATTCCTTATATTTCTCTATAAGTTGTTCTAAAGCATGGATGTGGTCCACAGTTGAGAAACCTGAACGAAATCCTGCCTGCTCCATTGGTTGGTTGTTATCAATTGTTGTTGTTATTCGACTAAGTAGGACTGATGAGAATAGCTTATAGATGGTAGGTATCAAACTAATTGGTCTATAGTTACCAATATCCAACGGGTTTCCTTTTTTGTATAGTAACACAATGTCTGAGTGGCACCACTGTGTAGGGACATAGCCTTGTTCCAGCACTATGTTAAATAATTTTGTTATGATACTAGTTAGTATTGGTGCTCCGATTTTTATGGCCTCATTAGTTATATAGTCAGGTCCTGGACTTTTGTCAGGTTTTAGTTTGCAAATATATTTATGTACGTCTTGTTCATCAATGGCTTGTAGTATTTCCTCCGAATTCTTGGTGGTTGGGCCAACTGCTCTGTCATCCTGATGTTCGTAGAGGTTTCTATAGAATTCAGTAGCACACTCCATGATTCCTTTTCTAGTTTTCATTTCTCTGTGTCCATTTTCTAGTTTTGTTATCCAATTTTTGTGTGTGTTTAGCTCCTTAAGCCCCCTCTTCGTACTTCGATATTGCTTTAGGTTTTTTTCTAAAATATGTTTTCTGTGGTTATTATAATCTTTTCTTATGGCTTTATTTGTTGCTTTGAATAAATTCTTAAGTTTGATCTTATCTTCCTTGTTTTTAATTTTTTGTTTGATTAAAATTGAGCGTTCATTTATTAGTTTTTGAGTGGATTTGCTAATTATTTTATTTGTTTTGTGGTCTTTATCTATTTTTAGGCTTTGTTTAATTATTAATTCTAGGGCGTCATAGTAAGTTTGAACATCATTATTATTATATATCTCTTTAAGGCGGGTATTAATATTATCACTTAGGTTCTTCAAATACTCTGATTTTTCATTGTCGGTTTCAGGAGATTTTGGTAACATTACAAATTTCTTTCTTGATAAAGTTGGTGTTGTCAGTATTACAGAGGCTCTGACTAATCGATGGTCAGATGGAAAATCTATTTTATTTATAATTTCCATGTTCATTATGCACTTGGGGTGATTACTCATTATAAAATCTATTTCATTTTTTGTTTGTCCATTAGGCGAAATCCAGGTCCATCTACGACTAAGTTTTTTCTTAAAGTAAGTGTTCATTATACAGAGCTTGTGTTCAAAGGCATATTGGATTAGTCTTTCACCTCTCTGGTTACGCTTGCCATAACCATAATTGCCTAGTATAAGTTTTTCTTTATGTTTGGGTTGACCAATCTTAGCATTGAAATCTCCTAAAATCAATACATTTTTGTCAGGTGTTTCATGGGCTTTTTCAAGTTCTTCATAGAATTTATTGATTTCAATTTCATCTGCTTCTTCGGTTGGTGCGTAGACTTGGATGAGTGATATGCAGTGTTCTCCAAATTTCATGCGCAGCAGGGCTACCCGTTCAGATATACCAGTGAACTCGATAATATTGGCTTTGTGTTTTCGACTGATAAGAAACCCCACTCCATATATTCCAGGTGTGTTTCCCATGTAACAGAGGATGTGTTCATGATGTTCTTCTATATTAGATCCCATTTTTCTGACTTCTGCTAATCCTAATACATCTATTTGAATATTTTTCAATGAGTGCACAAGTTCTATCAATTTTTCTGTTGATGCTAAAGTTCTCACGTTGTAAGTTCCAATTTTCAACACTCTTGTTTGTTTGTTGCTAGAGGGTTTTGGTCTGATTCCCCACGGGGACCAGCCGGATTGGGGAATGTTTTTCTAAATGTTTTACTTATATTTTTATGTTTTTTGTTTATCCGGCTGTCGAGTTCCTATGTTTGTTTTGATGTGGGGGTAGGGGTGGTGAGAGAGTTACTTCTTCCTCGCATCATGTCAAAGGCGTTTGACCTGCTTGCTTTTGTTGTTGCTGTGGGTTGCAAATTGCTCTTTTGGGCGTATTTTGGTGGTGAAATTGACATAGAACGCTCGCGTTTGCGTTTCTCTTTTGTTTGTATGCTATCCCGTATGATGAGTTTGTCATATTTCAATACTGCATACTTTCCCTTCTGTCTTTCTTCTATCAACTGTTGTTGGAGTTCCCTTCTTTTAGTTAGTACATTTTTAGGATATTCTTTATTTAAATAGATTCCGGGCAGCTTTTTCTTATTTCTCATGATTTGTTCTTTTTTCCAAGCATGTAAAAGAGAGATGATAACAGGTCTTGGTTTTTCGTTATCTACCCCTTTTTTCCTAGGCGGTATATATTATTGATGTCGTTATGGCCGATATCTATATTTATTTTTGATCGAATCATTTCAGTGACTATTTCTATTAGATTTTGTTTTGAAATCTCTTCCTCTTTAAATCCAAAGGCTATAATATTATTTTTACGGTTTTCGCGCTCTAAATTATCAATTTTCTCGCTAAGTTCTTGTTTTCGGATTTCAAGTCTGTTATTGCTTTTACTAAAGGGTTTAGTTTCTCCTCCATTTTTTGCATAATTAAATTCGATTGTTTTTGCATTTCTATCTTCATGTCATCAAAAAGTGCTATAAGATTATGATCCATTCTTTTTTTTTTTTTGACGTGACAACGTCTTATAATTCGATGGAGCCGGCTGCACGCACGAAAAACATGACCATGCGGCGTTACCTCGCCTCTGAGGCGTTACCTCTCTCTGAGGCGTTACCTCGCTCTAGTCGTTACCTCGCTCTGAGGCGTTCCATTTAAAATTGACATAATTGTATTTATGCGTACAAATAAATGTAACTATCAATTCAATTGTGATTTCCATTTACCTCCTTCTCTATATCCATACAAAATACCTATAAAACAAATAAAATTTAATTTTTTTTTTTAAAATGCAACCATCCCATCAATATTTTTTTATGACGTTGTCACGTTCAACTATCGTCAGTAAACCGACTTTACAGACAACCGATTTTTTTTAACTTTTTGGCAACAGCTTCAACTTTATGCCAGTTTCAAGTATCCATTCTTTACGATCACGAATCGGAACTTAGTCGTTGGTAGCTTGTACTTTTTAATTATGGCAACAATTTGGTATATATCAATAGTGTCACTTTAACTAATATTGATTGTCAAAGTATTATGTCGGCTCAAATAACCTTCAAAGTTTCACGAGTTTAACACAAGATCTTAATGTTTAATGCGTCACTTCACACAATGTTTTATATTTAAAAGAAATGCCACTATTACTTTTAACCTATTTTGTGATATTACACTACGTTTTTCCTAGTTTTTCTGTATTTTTGTTGAGTTTTCGTCTGGAGCGACTACTATTACGTGTGCGTGTTTTGACAGCCGGAAAACACCTTTTCAACAATAAAAATAAAGTCTAAAAATAAAATAAAAAATTGTGGGGTGGACACCCCATATCACTTAGCGGGTTGAATGATAGATAGTTCTCAGACTTATTGAATATGCATAAAAAAATTCATAAGAATCGGTCAAGCCGTTTCGGAGGAGTATGAGAACGAACATTATGACACGAGAATTTTATATAATATTATACATATTAGCATATAGTGTCTTTATCCTTTACTAAGTATATATAATTTGAAAACCACAGCTTTGGATGTGACTATGATAAAAGAAAAAGATTATTTTTATTCTTATTATTTTTCTTTTTTAATTATGTATATTAGTTTGTAAAACTAAATTTTTTAAATATAACTATTAAATCTTGATTAATTTAAATTAAGAAATATAAATAACTAGGATGCAAATTTTTAAATAAAACTTAGAATATTACACTTTCTATACCTATTTACCACATAATTTTTTATTTCTAACAGCAAATAAAATACTATACAATTTTAATATAATTCTAATAAGATAGACATAAAGCATATATGTACAGTAGTGGAAATATATTATAATAAACTATAGAAGCAGCTCACAAATCCCATGAAAATAAGTGATGTTTAACTAACATATCTCTGACCCCTTCTTTTAATGGCTGATTCTGTGTATCTTTCTTAAGTGGAAGTTCCCAATTTGGATTTAAGTTAAAGCCAAATTGTGACAATATGCGTAACTCACATTTAATTTGTACCCACCCTGGGGAATTTATAAATGACCATGGGTGGTACCATTTTTGGACAACATCAACACATGAACATAGGACTTCAAGCCACAAATGTAATGCTTCCTCATTTAATCCCATACAAATAAGAGTCCGCAACTTGACGTCCATCTGTGCATGGGCATTGTTATGAGATAAATTAATGGCTTGGACACATCTATATAATAATTCTTCAGGAGTTAACACTTTACCATCTTCATCTAATCTGTATGTTTTACATAAAACTAAACGACTGTAGACAGAATTAAAGTGCCTCTCAACTTCCCTAGAAGAAGCTTCCTCAATAAATAGCCATGGGTGACAGGGACCATCTAAAAAGCTTGGCTTTTTAATACCATGAAGTAATACTCTTTTAAAGGCAGGTGCAAGTACTCCTCTGACTAAATGGGCAGCTTTTTCTGTAACTGAATCATCTCCAGCTCGACTGTATTTAACCCCTTTTTCATCTAATAATTTAACAAATCTTGCTGGAAACCAACCTCTTAGCCCATTTAATTCACCTATCCAACAATGTTCATCACGTGAATTTATAACTTCAATGACATCATTTTTTCTAAAGCCAAGTTCATTGCCATCTCTTCTTTCAAAGTCTAATAATGCTTTAGCCCTTCTTCGTTTACTTTTTGAAACATTAACATACCTTTCCCTATCAGCAGCATGGCTTTGCATGCTGTAGTCAGCTGTGAGCTGAACTTCAGAAGTTAACTGTGGTTCTAAGGCAAGGAAATGCCTGGCAACTTGTAAAATTGCTTCTCTAAGATCAACAAGAATTTCAGTTTGTTTTACATTCTTAGATACAGCATCTTCATTATTAGTATCATCTCCAAAGAGCATGGTTTGGATCACTGATTTACTTCTCTTGATTTGACGCCGTTGTAACTGCTGCTTTGGAAGATTAGGGACAGCATTTGGATTTCCAACTAGAGCTCCTTGATCAGCCATTAAATAGGCTAGGTGTCTTCTCCGATGTGTTTCTATAAGTGCAGGGCTTAATGTGTCTCCACAAACCTCATCAATAGTTTTTATTAAAAGATCCACATCATCAATTTCACCAGGAATATCTGATAGTGCATTAAAGATTTGAGCCGAATTTGATATTTCTGTAAATCTGTTTTCCTTGATTTTCAACATTGCTAGCGTCACTTTAAAAAGTACAATGGAACCATCTAAAAAGAAAAGATCCCAAACTCTCAGTAAAATTTTTATATGAACAACATTTGCATATAGAGTTAAAAACCAATGCATAGTAATAAGAGACAGTTCAATATCATGAGCATTTAAGACTTGATCAATTCCTGGCAAATAAGATGATATAAGACTTCTAAGAACTTTTTGATCAGCTTGTATACCTATTAAAGTAGAAGAGTAATATGATGCTGGCAACAGGTCCTCTACAGTTGTGCACATTATCCAAAAGGCCTCTTCTTCTTCCATGAGTAACAAAAGGGATGCAGCAATCATACCAGTTCCCTGACAGTAACCAATATCTGGGTAAAGCCAAGCAAGAGCCCTCAAAATTCTTCTCAAGCGTGGTACACCAGTGCTTGTTGGATGGGAAAAGCACACATTGTTTGGTAAAATTTGCACCAGATCCTTTTCAATTTGTTTACTTGTGACCAAACCATCATCACTTGATGCTCTAACAATTTCATGATATGTTATTTCTGTTGTTAAGTGTTTTCTATTAGCTCCACAAAGGTGCATCCACACTTGTGGTCTAAGCGAGTGTGGTATTCCATCCTTAACCAAGTTTTGTAACTTATCGGTTTTTTCCATTTTATTGTCGTTTTCACAGAAATTAATCTCTTTACTAAAAAATTCCCATTGAAGGCGATGTTGGTCATCTTCAATAAACGATGAGGCAAGCAATTTATTAGAACTTTGCTCGGGTCCGTCCTCCTCATCAACACAAAACCCAAATTCGTCAAACCTGTAGTCGGGAAGACCACCGTGACCTTCTGACTCAGGTTGTGCAAGTTTAGCCATTATATCTTGAGGCACCATACTCGGTGTAAGCGCTGAGAATGACCCTCCCGGTGCTGGTAGAAGTTCATCAGCTACATTCATACCACGGATTGCATCTATTACATCTTCTGGGTCATCATCTGCTAGAGCAGCACTTAACTTACGTTCGTGTTCTTCACGACCAACGTAACCGACGTGGTCACGCGAACTAAATAAAGATTTCGCTATATCCATGTTTACTAATTTACCATTACACAAAAAATAAGATTATTGACACTTACTTTCTAAAGAACTATCTGTATCTAATATCTATATTTTTTTTTTTTTTTTTTTTTTTAAATAGCCTCACGCAGAGCGTATTGCCACAGACAAAGGTAAGGAAAACGGAATAGTAAAGAAAAATAATTTTACACCGAATGAACATTACATCGATAAAGGATAGGATCAGCAGGATATAAAACTATCTCTAATACAAAGTACTACATTATGGAAAGGAACAGTTATTAATAAAATATATATCATACAAAATACGATTTGTATACATATGTATGTACATATTTATAATTTTATATTATTTAGAGTAAGAAATAAACATAACTTTTTTATATATATTATTATTTAAAGATGAAAGCAGAACAGGAACAGATGTAGGTAACGGGATACTAGAAGAAGGATGAGAATGATCGAATAACATGGAGTGGTTATACCGAGGACAGGACAGAATGATATGGTTTAAATCACCAATATTCAGCCCACACTCACACATTTCACTATCAATAATATGAAATCTGGAAAGGTGGGCTGGGGTACACATGGCCCAATCTCATACGAATGAGAGACGATGTTTCCTTTTTATTAAATTTCATTTTAAAAAACCATGGCTTTAGTGGTATTGTGGGCTGTATACATGAAAAATATTTACCCTTAATTAAACTGCTCTGAATCCAAAGGTCAGTCCAAGATTGTCGAAGAAAAGAAGCAGGAAGTGAGGCCAAATCATGATAATAATTTTTATACGAGTTAGAATCGCCATCCTTAACAGCTTCATTTGCTAGTTGGTCTGCTATGTCGTTACCAAAAATACCAGAATGTCCAGGTATCCAACCAAATGACACAGACAACCCCAATTGCTCACATTCATACAACAAACTCCTAATCTCAATAATGATAGGAAAAATTAATTTGTTTTTTAATGGATATTTTTGGAGAGCTTGAAGAGCACTAAGTGAATCTGTGAATATGATGGATTTCTTAAGTTTCTTGCTCAAAACTAATTTTAAAGCTTTAAAGATACCGTAACATTCCCTGTGAAGATTGAGGACTCTGGAGGAAACATTATTTTTATTGTAGTTTTACTTTGTAAGTGAAATACTCCTATGCCTACATTACCAGACGAACCGTGTTTAGAGGCATCTGTAAATATGTAATTGTACTCATGGCAGTGTTGTTCACAGAAATAATTAAAAGTAATCCTTGCGTGGGAATCGCCCTTGTTTATACCAATATTGAATCTAATGTCTGGAGAAATAATTAGAGATTCAAAGTTTGTTCCAAATAAAGGGTAAGTTGGTAAGGTATGAGTTGGAGCTTGAATATTGATAAATTTATTGAAGCTGACGATGAGACAAGGTGAAGATTTATTTGACCAGTACTTGGAAGATGTCAACAATTGAGATAGTTCTTGCAGCTTAGAACGGAGAGGATGGTTGGCATATTGAAGGGAGCGAAATATGAATTTATCAGATAAATATTGTCGTCTAAGATGTAATGGGGCTTCAACACATTCTACTTGTAAAGCATTAATTGGACTAGTTTTCATAGCTCCTGTGATTAATCTTAATGCCTTAGACTGTATATTATCTAATTTTTTTAAACGGGTTGCATTTCCAGGAGATAATAAAAAGGTACCATAGTCTAAAATACTTCGGATTAAAGCATTGTACATGAGTTTCATACAAAAGGGATGGGCACCCCACCATACACCGGATAAACATCTAAGAATGTTCAGGTTTCGCTCACACCTATTAAAAATGTAGTCACAATGATTTACACCAGAGAGCTTAGAATCTAAAAACACACCAAGGAACTTCACAGAGTTTTTAACAGGGATAATATTATTATCAAAATACACGTTGATTGGAGGAGGGAGACGCATTCTAGAAAAAAGCATGGCAACACTTTTAGTGGGGGATATTTCAAGGCCATTAGTATCAAGCCAAGTTTTTAATAAATTAAGAGAATGAGACAGTAATGAGCAAGCAATGGCCGGTGATTGATGAATGGAATAAATTAAAAGGTCATCAGCATACTGGAGAATACAAATCCGATTACCCAAAGAAGCTTTCAAATCATGGGTATAAATATTATATAAGATGGGACTTAAGACTGATCCTTGAGGAAGACCTCTCCATAAGGGTCTGGTTACAACAGTGGAGTCTTGTGAAATTAGAGTGATGTGTCTTTCGTATAAAGTATTTATGATAAAATTTGATAACATTACAGGTACATTCAAATACTGTAGCTTTTTATGAAGAACTGACAACACTACATTGTCATAAGCGGATTGTACATCTAAAAATGTGGCAACAACAGAATCGTTCCTTGAAAATGCTAAAAAAATGTCAGTTATAAAGATGGCAATACTGTCCATCGTACTCTTCCCTCGACGGAAACCAAATTGACTGTCACAAAGTAATTTATTGCTTTCTACAAACCATTCAAGACGAGTTTTCACTAAATGTTCACAGAGTTTTATCAAGACCGAGGATAATGCAATAGGACGATATGAATTTGCGTTAGAGGGATTTTTTATTAGATTTTAGAATTGGTATAATGATCTGGTTTTTCCAGCGTGGAGGGATAGAACCGGTTAACATAAGTGTATTTATCAATTTCAGGAAATATTCAAGAGTTTGGTCACCTAAATGAGAGATGAAGGAATATGGGATTCCATCGTCACCAGGAGCAGAGTCTATAACTGAAGATAGTATTCCTTTAATTTCATACATAGAAAATGGACTATTGAGACCAGAGGGGTTCAATGGCATCAGAGGTATAATTATTGTTTCAGGAACTGTAGTAGGAGCAAGTCTGTCGAGGAATTGATTTGTTAATGAATCGGGAGAGAACCAGAAGTTTCAGTAAATGCACACCTGAATCTTCTAATATTACGCCATACCACAGAAGGACGGACATTAGGGGAGATGGAGAGACAAAAAGATTTCCAGCTATCTGTTTTTTTCTTTTTGAATAATAAACTAGTGGCCTTGAAAGCATCTGTAACCAGATCAAAATTTTCAGATGTACAATTCTCACAATATTGGAGCTCAACTTGTTTTCTTTTTTAATTGCATCTGAACATTCTTGATCCCACCAAGGTGGAGATGGAATAAAGCCCAGAGCACCGTTTTTAAGCGGAAAGGTTTTGTCTGCTACTTCTATAAATAATTTAGTTAATGCATCAGCACAAATTGATTCTGAACCATGTGAGATATTAGGAAGGGAAGTCATCTTTTGTTCTATACGGGATTTAAAGGTATCCCAATCAGCATTATTAAGTCGATGTTTTAATCTAGGTGAATGTCTAAATGTAAAATTAATGTGAAAAGGAAATCTAAGAAGTAAAGGGAAGTGGTCACTACCATATGAAGAAGAAAGTGTAGACCATGAAATAGTGGAAGCTAAACTAGGAGTACAAATGCTTAAATCAGGGACACTTGAGCCTTCATTGGGAGAGGTCCGCCGGGTCACAGAACCATCGTTAAGAAAGCAAAGATTATGAGAGTTTAACAGTTCCATCAATGAAACTCCGTATGTATTGGTTGTTGAACTGCCCCAAGAATTATGTTGACTGTTAAAGTCGCCTAATAAGATAAAAGGCTTAGGAAGAGTAGAAATGATAGAGTCAATTTCAACAAAGATAGAAGAACTAGGATGAGGAATATATATTGAAACATAGCAGATATTATTAACAATAGCAGCAATAATTGAAAAATCATTACTATGAGAAGGAATAGGAAAGTGAGAAAAAGGAAGATGATGTTTGACTAGTAAGGCAACTCCGCCATACCCGTCAATACGATCCTCACGGAGACAGGCATAGCCTGAGTACCTACAAGGAGCACCTGGTTTTAACCAGGTTTCCTGTAGAGCGAAGATAAAAGGTTTATATTTATTTATAAGATAAATAATATCACTTTTCTTAGACGAAGCACTTCTACAGTTCCACTGTAGAGCTTTGGCTTGCTTGTCCATTATTAATATAATTTGGTAAGCTAACAATAGTGTCAATTAAAGGAGCAGCGTTGGACGGTGAAAGAATATTTGACTGTGATAAAGTGTTAATGAGAATTTTTATTAGGTCTGCAATTGATTGTAATGTCAAATCATTATTGTTGTTTAAGTTTAATCCACAACCATTTCTGGGTGAGGGCATATCATAATCTTTAATTAATTGTTGTTGTGTATTTCTGTCATAACCTTTGGAAAGTTTAGGAATAGATTTAGGTTTGAGAAAAAAAGTCTTTTTGTAAGAGTTACTCAAAGACTGTTTATGAGACTGTTCATTTTGAGGAGTAGAAATAGTAGAAGCACCTACATTGGAAGAAGAAAGTAAAGCATCAGCATAAGATATTTTTGAGATAGGTGCATGAATTTTAGATGCTTCAGCGTACGAAATACAGCTCTTGGCCATAGATTCTTTGATGGCTTTTTGGCGATCAAATTCTAAACATCTTTTACTTGTGGCAAAATGGGAACCTTGACATAAACAACAGTATGCATCTTCCTCTAGGATAGAGCACTGATCAGCCGAATGGTCTTGGCCACACTTGAAACACTTTGGTTTTGATCTACATAATGATTTAACATGACCAAATCTGCAACAATTATAGCACTGTATTGTGGGGAAAATGTAAAGATCAACTGGGAGGGAAGTGTAGCAAATAAAAATTCGCTTAGGTAGTATTTGTCCATCAAATGTAAGAACCACAGTTTCAGTAGGCTTAAACTCACTGCCATTACTAGTAATGATACGCCGTCTCATTCTTCTTATTTTTAAAATTGGACCGCATCCAACAGGTAAATTAATATTTTCCGTAACTTCTTCATCTGACCACTCAGCAGGTATGCCTCTTACAACACCCATACGGGTAACAGTAAATGTTGGGATAAAAACCTTATACTCGACTGATTGTAAAGCAGAGTTATTTAGGAAAGAATTTGCGTCCTGGTAA